GAAGAGAAAATCATAACAACGTCGGTACATTCTTGCCGTGCGACGATAGACGAGACATAACCCAGTGTTTATTTTAATATCTTAAAAATATCGCATATTTCTGATTGAAACTTTTAAGGCAAAGGTCAAAATAAATAGAAGTATTAGTATGATATGAATACTGTTGAACTGTATGTTTGTGACGTTTTTCGGGATTTATCCGGACGACAACTCAAAGGAATCAGTCCTCAGTAAGTGACTATATTCACAACGTTCCTGTGTCACAAAATATTGTGGATCCAGTGTTTAAGTTAGGAACTATAGATCTTTATAGATCTAATGAAAAAACAACAACAGCAGAGTTTTGCTTCAACGAGTATGATAATATCCAATCGCAGCTTACATATCAAGTACAAACTATGTGTTTTTATTCTCTCTCTCTCTCTCTCTCTCTCTCTCTCTCCTTATATACCCTGTCTGACACCTAACGTCATTAGTGCACCCGTTAGGGCATTAGGCTCCATAGTTAGGGCACCTGTTAGGGCATTAGGCTCCAAGTATTAGGGCTGCTGCACCAACGTTAGGTGTCAAGATACCTAATACATTTAGAACATCTGTTAGGCACCATAATTAGGGCGCTAATTGGGCTCCAAGATTAGGGCACTAATCAGGCTCCATGGTTAAGGCCCTTCATACAAACAAAAATTCTATTCCTTCCTCATTCACAACAATGACATATTTGCACGTATAAAACAAAAACATTACATGTTAAGATAACTATTAAAGAGAAAACTGTTTAAAAAGTAGAAAATCGCCAGGAAAAGATAATTTGATAAATGAGTACTTCAATCATATTAGAGATGATCTAAGCTCACTTTTAAGAAGAATATTTAATGTAATTTTTGATACTGGTAATATTCCTCACTCATGGTGTGAAGGTGTAATTGTACCTATTTTTAAAAACAATGATCCAGATGAAACAGATAACCATATATAGGGCCATAATCCTTATGAGTTGCATGCTAAACATATTTACAACTATACCTAATAATTCTAATGAAATGGTCCGAAAGTAATTTTGTTTTAGTTGATGGACAGTTTGGATTCAAACCAGGGGTTGGTACAATAGACGCTTTTTTTGCACTGCAAAGTATAATTGATAAACATCTTTCAAATGGGAAAAAAATTGTGGACTATCGTAAGGTCATTCGATAGCACTAATAGAAATTATCTTTTCAAAAAGCTTATAACGTTAGGGATCAAGGAGAAAATGTTAAAAAGTATGTAGTCTTTGTATAAGAATGTTAGGAACTGTGTGAAATACAAAAACAATTTTGGTGATTTTTCTGTGAAGAGCAAAGAGTTCTTCAGGGAGAAGGATTGTCTCCTCTACTTTTTCTTTATATCTTAATGATTTTGAACATTCCTTTATCATGTCATATTGTCAAGATATTAAACTCCAGGAAAGGTCGACGTCTTATCACAAGAAATGTACCTATGAAATTTGAAAGCCCTAGTACTAACTGTTAATAAACTATGGTCAAGGTTAAAGTCTTTTAAAAGTGGGTCAAACTCAAGTTCAAAGAGTCACAAAATTTTATACCCATGAAAAGGTCTTGTCACATTAAATACACATATGAAAAATGAAAGTCCTAGCATCAACTGCTCAGAAGTTATGGTCAAGGTTAAAGTTGGGTAAATTTTTGCAAAAGTGGGTCAAACTCTAAGGTCAAGAGGTCCAATATGTTGGTACCCAAAGGAAGGTATTGTCACAAGGAATACACATGTGAAATATGAAAGTCATAGCTCCAACCAATCAAAAGTTATGGGCAAGGTTAAAGTTTTTGCGGAAAAACAGAAAACAGACAGACCGGAGGACAGGGCAAAAATTATATACTCCCGAATCTTCGATTACGGGGCATATTAAAAATCTGTTTTTAAATAATTTTTAAACAAAGATTAACTGATTGTTTTCAACAAGAATGTGACATCTTTTTTTTCATCCTCGGAGTGTTTTTATAAAGATATCTAACAAATAAGTTGTGTATGCAATCCTACTTAATTAAACAAAATCCAACTAAGTATATGTATTCAATTGATTGCAAAATATAGATTCAGTGTACATTTATTAATGATTGAGAGGGGAAAATTTACTCATATTTCTAGAGAGAATAGATGTATTTTTTGCTCAATTGGATGTTAAGATGACCACTTTATCATAAGTACAGGAATCATTGCATATTTAAAAGTACTATTGATATAGGCCAAGTATGTATGAACTTCTATAATTGTTATCAACTGAACATTCTTACAGAAAGCAGAATCACTAATTTAAGAGATTCACTATTGTAAACATAAAAAAGATTTCATTTGTTGTAAAATATCATATACAACAATATTGTATGTAAAAATATTTTATGTATACGTACATTCTGTCGTCGGCGACAATATGTACAGTCTAGGTCGGCATATATTGTCGTCGATAGATTGTTTTGACGAATATTTACTTGAGAAAAGAAAGAGAGATTGACAAACACAAACACGCACGGAGGGAGACAGTACTACAGGGAGAAAACTTTTTGGTCAGAAAATTATGTCCAAGATTGATGTGCATCACTATGACATATCAAGATACCGTGATTCTTGAGATATCTGATAAATCAGCTATTCTTTTTTTCTTGTAATATATACTTGGAGAGTGAATACAGGTATGGTTTTTTTGTTCAGTAGTAATGATTATTTGGAAATTATTTTTTGCGTTATTCTTATATACGATCATGTGCTGATATAATATTATAAATATAATTTATTGTTAATAATAATATAAGAATATCGCAAAAAATAACATTTTTAAATCACCTGAACTAGAAGTTAAAGTGAGCTTTACTGATCACATTTTGTCTGACCGTCCGTCTGTCTGTAAACTATTCATAATTTCAGCTTCTCAAGAACTACTGGGTCGATTTCAACCAAATTTGCCACACTTGCATCTGTGGATAAAGGGGATTCAAGTTTGTTCAAATGAAGGGTCATGCCCTCTTTTAAGGGAAGTAGTTACAGTTGTAAGAATAAGTGAAAATTTAGTGACTTCTAAAAATCTTCTCAAAAACCACTTTGTCAGAAAAGTGGAAACTTGTGTGAAAGCTTCACTAAAAAGTGTAAATTCAGTTTTATTCAGATCATGTCCCTCGGGGGATAGGTGTGGCTACAATAGATTATCTTAGTTTTTCATAGAATATTTAGAAAAAAAAAATCTTCTTTAAAGAACTACTGGGTCAGAAGAGATGATACTTATGTGAAAGCTTCATAGCGTACGTTCAATTTTGAGATGCTAGCACAAAAAAGATCCCTCACTGCTCAATGATCCTGAGTGCCAAGTATATATGTAGGTCTAAATTTGCAGCCCTCCACCGGTGGTGACGTCTCAATATGAATGAAAAATTCTCGAGAGGGGCATTTTAACAACAAACAAACAAACAAAAACAAAATCATTTTTGTTCAAGTCATGACCCCAGGGGTAATGTGGGGCCACAATGGGTGAGTTTTACATAGGAATATATATACAGAAAATCTTTAAAATCTTCTCAAACACAAAAGACAGATGTAGCACCCCCCCCCCCCCCAGCTTGGTGGTTTTTTTTATTTTTATTATTTTTTTTTTTTTGGCTTTGGTAAATTTTGTTTGTTTAACTTGTATATACTTAGTCCACAGGTAAAATTTCATAATTAAATAATTAACTTAACATACACAATAACACTGATGGACGACAATATGCGCAGTGAGGGAAGGTACACATTGTCGTCGGCGACAATATGAACTGGACGACAAAATGTACCGTCACAATCACGCTGCATAAAATAGCATACGAGACACGTCAGTGTGATTTTCACACCAACTACATTCACGAAACTAGCAAAAAAACAACAAAAGACATCTTTAAAAAACCATTTCTGTGGGGCGACAATATGTACAGTGAGGGTGAGGCACATTATGTCGCCAGCGACAATATGTACATATGTAACTTTTCAGTCGGCGACAATATGTACCGATGGACGACAATATGGGTAGTGAGGGTAGGTACATATTGTCGCCGACGACAATATGTACAAAACGACAATATGTACCGTCACAGGGTTTAATTTCTCGTCTGAAACATGTACTAAGTATGTTGTTAGACTTTTCCCTCGCCATTCGATTTGGTCCCTCGCTTCGCTCGGCACCAAATCTCATGGTGCTCGTGAAAAGTTTACCAACATATACTTGGATCTTTCAAAGCTAGACAGTGAAAAATCTTCATTGATCGAACCTTGTTTAAAGACCAAGTTATTTAATTATGTATTGTGAGATATAATGACCAAAATAGATATGAATTTTATAATTATAAACATGTATTGAGTTCTTTTTGAAAAAGTCACACTGATAAGGAAGAAAATAATCAATTGCCTTTTGAACTGGACCGGTTCAACTTGTGATAAAATTTTAATTGTATATTTCAATTTGCTACGGTACAATCAGATCTTTATTGACAAGAATTGCACTTGAGATACAATTATCTAATGCCGGAAATTCTGTGGTGCGAAAGTGGCCCTTGATCAAAAATTAAGGATATTAATTACTCTGGAATTTTTGGACACTTCAATTTCCTTGAAAAGATATCATTGCTTTTAAACTGTGATATTTACTAAATTAATGATAATTTTAGGTTTTAATTGGGTCTGAAGTATTTAAGCACTTCTGATCACCATCGTTTTTTCCACAAATATACTAAGTACGATTATACTACATCATTCACAATGAGTTAAGTGACACATTTGGCAATATGTATATTCACTCACTTCATACGATATTTGAAAGATCAATCATAATCCTGTACGTGCAAAATTAATGTTAATTAATATTCCTCCACCGTTTGCAATGTACACCCATATCAAAAATATTTTATATACAGGAGAATGTTTATATTTATTTAGATGTACTTAAAAATACTGAACAAAATTTTATCATGTTTAATTCATTTCATTTTAATACATTATGATATAGGTTCTAGTTGTGGTGCATATGTCATTAAATGTTGTCCAACGATGAATACTCATTTGGTTGTTGGTTTTCTTCGCTAGCTTCTTCCACATAAGGATTTGAGTTTACAGAAGAGAGCACAAATTCTCTCTGTCGGTCTTGTATTTGTGTAGTTTCATTTGAAACCCCAACTGAATTAAGACTACAGCTGGTTTGATTTAGTTCAAAAGGAGTTGTTTTAATTTCAATTGAAAACTTATTGTCATCCTTGTACTTCAAGAGTTTAATTTGTCCAACTGCAGATGCTTCCAGACATGGATTTACCTCCTCTGTATTTAATGAACTATAAATATAGTGGGGAATGTCCCCCATAACTTCGTATTCTTCTCCCTTTTTCAGGATCTTTTTCTTGTATTTCCTCCTCAAAAATAACACTAAACATAGAGTGTTTAGAATAAGACAGAAACCCAATAAACTTGCACAAATCAAAAATAAGATTTCGAAGTTCCGTCTCGGCTCATCAGTAAAAGACACATAATTTATTCTTCGCCGATCTATAGTGGTTTGGTTACTTGTGTCAACTTCAAAGAATACATCAGTAGCTTTAAAAAAAAGAAAAAGAAAATACAATATAATACAGTTATATCTCCCGCAAAGATCTTATTGTCACAGTGATGATTTGTTTTCTTTAATATTTCTACATTTCACATCTTAGTACAAATCTTCAAATTTTATATCTTTCTTCCCTCTTCCTTATCCTCCTGATATGTGAATGTTTTCTACATATCATATATTGGTTTCTCAATACTTCACTAAAACAAATTATGTGAAAGAAGCAAGATTTCTTTTTTTTCTATGCATCAAAACCAGGCAATCATTTTTTCACGATTTATATGTTGTTTGATCTCAATTAAATACACGGGAGTTTAGTTTTGCTTTTTTTTTTTTTTTTTTTTTTTTTTTTTTTTTACTAATTTATTTATTTCACAGACAAAATCAGAGAAATCATGTATAAAACCAGATTTGAAGACAACTTGTATCTGAAAGCGTTTGATTTTTTTAAAACGATGTTTTTGTAAGGTGAAGCATTACCTGTTTCGTTTTTACAACCAAATGTAAAGTCACAAGTCTCAGATTCACAATTACACACGTGTTGACAATCTTCACCGTAATATGGATATTTGCATTTCTTACTGCATTCGTTGCCGTAAAAACCAACACTACACTCTACACAAAAAAAAAAAAAAAAACACAATCAAAATTAAAAGGACGAATTATAAAATATTTTAACAATACAATTAATTTAATCTCAAAATGATGAATAAACATACTGGTGCAACTTTGTAAATGTTCATTCCATCTGTAACCAAAGCAACACCTGTCCAATCTATATGCGTTCAAAAAAAAAATTGAAAGTATTAGAAATGAAAATCATATGAATACGAAAGGCATTTATTTGCAAAACAAACTAAATTTATTTGACTTACCCTGTACATAATTGGCAATTAATCTCTCGTATTAGGCTAACATGGTTAAAAATAATGTAAACACACTTCAAAATAAATAACTCCATTGCCGGCTTCAAATTTATTTATGGGAACTTACGAGATGTACTTTCGTTTTAACTATTCAGAAGGCCATAATTATTATCCTTGCAAATGCGGATCCAGGAATGTTGGTGTGCAAGGGGAAAACGAAACTGACTAAAAATATAATTCATGAGGTGGATGCATATGGGTTGGGATAGGACACTTCTCATGCGCGTGGACAAGCTGATATATATATATATATATATATATATATATATATATATATATATATATATATATATATATATATATATATATATAGTTTGAGCTAATACAGGTCAGAATAAAGCAATATATATTGCGCTGTTTATCAAAATTTGGTGAAAAAGACTTCTTAACAATTATGAAATATTTTTTTCAAAAAAAAAAAAACAATTTAAATAATTCAATACCTAGCCATTTTTATAATGCTTGATGTGCTAATAAAACGTAATATTCAGTACAGAAGAACATCAGTTAAAAGACCTTTAATACCCTGTTTAATCTCTGTTAAAGCTTCATGACATGTCTTCCCTCAAAATCTTTCACAAAGTTTGGGTGATATTTACATGTTCACAGTCCAAACAAAAATTTACTTTAAAAATCATTGCCTGAATAGTAATTTCTCCTGAAATTAAGTTAAAGATACATATAAAACTGTTTTAATATTCTTTTCCCTGAAATACAGTAAAAAAAAATACATTAATGTTTTCTTTCTTGCTGAGCCATTTATATGAAAGTAAGTGGAAGTATTTTTCAAGGATATGCACTTCTTTGTCTAGTTCACCTGTAATGCTAAATCAGGAAACTATGACATTGGTAATTCAAATGTCATAAAACAATTAACTTTACAGCTGAAATTTTCTAACAAACATGTATCTGTACATAAACGTACATGTATAAATGAAAAATATCGAAAATTCAACGACTGGCTAAAGATCGGGCTGAAATACAGAAAATACATATATGACCAGCATTATACTTTCTGACATGCAGAAAAAATGTTTGTGATCAATAAAATAAATGAAATATCCTTTTAGTAAAGCTATTCATACCTTTAAGCAAAGAAATTTTAAAATATAAATGTGATACAAGTAACCATTCTTTTTAATCAATTAGAAAGAACTAAAAATAAAAATAATATTGGAATAAACAGAAATATCAGTTCCTTTGTCTTTTTAATTTTACTGACAGTCACTTTATGTATATAAATTTTGCAATAAAGCTCAATAAACACATAAATACTGATATCAGATTTTATTTTAAGTCAGACACTCTAGCAGTAAAAAGCTTTAATTAAAAGTTATCTTGATCCATTTATTGAAATTGATTCAAAAATGTACATATAGTTGTAATTCTTGATAAGTCAATTTTACTAGAATCTATTAAATAGAAATGAAAACTGTAAGAGGAAGCATTATGAAGATTTGTCCATTTTTAGTAATCACGACAACACAGTTTATCAACATCAAAGATCAATAAATGGAATTATATAAGTTGTGAATGTAGGTGTACTCCTGCAAGACCGTCGACCGGACATCGTTTCATACATAGATATCTAAACCCCATGCTAAGTCCACATCTAATGCCTTTTAGCTTCACTATTGATATAATTACATCGAAATTAAACCTAGCTGTTAAACAAGAGATCCATGGGCCACATCGCTCACCTGACTAACTTTGGCCATGCTGTTCTTTACCAGAATTCCCCCTTGTAATACTTATTGTGGCCCCGCCCTACCCCCGGGGGTCATGATTTTAACAATTTAAAATCTACACTATCCGAGGATGCTTCCACATAAGTTTCAGTTTTTCTGGCCCAATTGTTCTTGAGAAGAACATTTTTAAAGATTTTTCTTACATATTTCAATGTAAAACTTGGATTCCCTATTATAGCCCCGCCCTACCCCCGGGGGTCATGATTTTTACAATTTAGCATCTACACTACCCCAAGATGCTTCCACATAAGTTCCAATTTTTCTGGCCCAGTTGTTCTTGAGAAGAAAATTTTTAAAGATTTTTCTTACATATTTCCATGTTAAACTTGGATTCCCTATTGTGGCCCCGCCCTACCCCCGGGGGTCATGATTTGAACAATTTAGAATCTACACTATCCTAGGATGCTTCCACATAAATTTCATCTTTTCTGGCCCAGTGGTTCTTGAAAAGAAGATTTTTAAAGATTTCTTACATATTTCAATGTAGATTCCCTATTGTGGCCCCGCCCTACCCCCGGGGGTCATGATTTGAACAAATTAGAATCTCCACTACCCCAGGATGCTTCCACATAAGTTTCAGCTTTTCTGGCCTAGTGGTTCTTGAGAAGAAGATTTTTAAAGATTTTTCTTATATATTTCAATGTAAAACTTGGATTCCCTATTGTGGCCCCGCCCTACCAATGGGGGTCATGATTTTGACAATTTAAAATCTGCACTATCCCAGGATGCTTCCACATAAGTTTCAGCTTTTTTGGCCCAGTGGTTCTTGAGAAGAAGATTTTTTAATGACACCACCCTATTTTTGTTTTTGTTTTTTGATTATCTCCCCTTGTAAGGGGAATTGGCCCTTTATTTTAACAATTTACACTCCCCCTTACCAAAGGATATATTGTACCAAGTTTGGTTAAAATTGGCCCAGTGGTTCTTGAGAAGAAGTTGAAAATGTGAAAAGTTTACAGACGGATGGACGAACAACAGACAACGGGTGATCAGAAAAGCTCACTTGAGCTTTCAGCTCAGGTGAGCTATCATGAATGTTGATAGTAAAATTATACATAAAACTGCACTTTTTTCCTGTCTCACAATGCAAGTACCTAAAGTCCAGAGATAATCAAAGTACAGAAAGTACTCCCGGGAACTGAACTTTTCAAACGATGAAAGAAAAAGATCAATTATTGATTTCATTCAAGGTTTTTCTCTTTTCTTCTCTCTCTGTCTCTTGTATTAGCAAATATATACGAGTATCTAATTGTCATATTACATTTCTGAATAAATTGGCTCACAGACAAGTGGAACAGTTTTTAAATGTATTTTAAAAAACTTACGGTTTTCTGTGTGATTCCCTAGGGAGATTAAACATAATTTCAATTTCCAAAATTTAAGGATGTTACTTGGTCTCAATGGTTGGTCATGAAGGAAAAGTCCTTAATATTGAGAAATGCTGGGTACTGCAGAATATGTACAAAAGGGGAGTTTATAGGTAGCTACAATAGTATAACCCTCTCCAATATGTCTCAAAAATAATCATATAGACTTAGTTTTTTTTTCCCGACATATATCAATACAATTATCCCTTGCATTATTCCTCTTTTTTTATTTTATATATATTCTGATGTTAATTTTAAATGTAATACGAGTAATTTTTGCCCTACTAATTTTGAGGAAAGGATTCTAAAAGATGTTTTCTATAAACGTCTATGTAAATCTTTTATTCCTATTTTGGCACCAACCTACCCCTGAATATATTTTAAATCTGCACTATCAAAGGATGCTTGCGTATTGATATGACTGATCATGGCCCTTCTATTCATGAGAAGACTTTTTATGCACCAATAATCGAAGATTCGGGTGCATATAGTTTTTGGTCTGTTCATTTGCCTGTCTGTTTAGCTGTGTTTCTGTTGATCTATTTGTATGTTTGTTCGCAGAAACTTAAACCTTACCCGTAACTTTTGAACGGTTCGTGCAAGGGCTTTCATATTTCACGCGTATTCCTTGTAACAGTTTTGACCTTGACTTTGTAGTTCGACATATTTTGAAAATCTTTAACCTTGGCCAAAACTTTTGAACGGTTGGTGCTATGTCTTTCATATATCAAATGTATTTGTCTTGGGACAAGACCTTCCTTTCGGTACCACATTTTTGACCTCCTGGCTTTGTCCTCTGAGTTTGACCTACATTTGTAAAAACTTATTTTGCCAATAACTTGAGAATGGTTGGTGCTAGGGCTTTCATAATTCAGGAATATATTTCTTGTGAAAAGACCTTTCCTTTGGTACCAAAAATTTTGACCTCATGACCTAGACCTTGGAGTATGACCAATGCAGATATTCGATTTCTTCAAATGAAGGGTCACACCCTTTTTCAAGAGTAGATAATTGAGAAATAACAAAAAAAAAATGATGGCATCTTTTAAAATCTTTTAAAATACTACAGAACCAGAAAATAAACTTAGTGAAGAGCTTAAAGAGGGTAATCACAAAGCTGAATTTAAAGCTCAAGTGAGCTAAAATCACTTAAAGCCATACTGAAATATATTTTTAGCAACTATAAATTATATTTTTACAGCATTTTATGTCGATTGGGAACCAGTAAAAAATCACACAATAAGCTTTCAAGATGCTTTCATGATTTCATTATTTTAATCTAAAAAATAAAAAGAAATCCCTATAAGCACGAAAGGACAACTAAATAAGGTCAACTTCTTTAATTCTTTCTATTAAAAACAGAGATACCTGTACATATGTACCTAGTTAGGTACTATATGCATATCAATCACATTGTGATCAGTTTTACAAGTCATCACTATTTGTAAATTATAGCTTTGTGACAGGTCTCCCCTCAATGTCATCCATAAACAGAGTGCTGAAGATGTCATTCACAAAGTTCGGGTGATATTTACATGCTCGGTCACAGTCCGGACAAAAATTTACTTCACAAATCACTGGCTGAATGGTTCTTTCCCCTAAAATTAAGAAAAAATGATACTTTAAAAATGTTGCAATAATTATTTTCCCTGAAATACAAAAAAATTCAAATACATTTGGTTTTGGCAGAGTCTTCATAAGTAAAGTACAGGTAGGTGAAAGTATGTTCAAAGGATGAACATTCAAAACTTTAGTTAAGGTAGAATGCTACACCAAAATTTTATTTAATGGATATTTTACATGTATCTTTAGAAACATGGTTTCAGCATGGAACGATTGATATATTAGCTCTTAATTATATCATATGAATTTTTTGGGCTATTTTTTCAAAGAAAATATAAAAAATTGTGTTATTTGCAAATAAGATGCTTAAAAGTTTAAGATTTACTCCTTAATCTGTATTGCAAAATCAGGAAACTACAACACTTGTTATTCAAACATCATAAAACAACTATTACAGCTGAAATCTTCTAACAAAAATGTATCTGCATGTACATAAATGTATCTGTGTAAATGAAAAATAAGCTGTTCATAAATTTAATACAAAATTTCAACTTCTAGAAAGTGGGTATTTAGCATACTATGATATTGTATAATCTGATCAAAAAAATGAAGTCACTTCCTTGTAGCAAAATACTGTAGACTGGCAAATAATCACTATGGTTTTAATTTCACTATATTCACGATTCATCATTTTTTCTCGAAATTAAACCCATCGTGAATGCTATCATTATTTTTAAAAACGTTTAAATGCTTTTACGAATTTTAAAAAAAATTCTTGCAGTGTGAAAATAAAATTATCGCAATTGGTACTTTTTGAGAAATTGTGAAATTTTAACACCGTGGAATTAAAACGACTTACAGTATGTGACAAGTCATTCCTTTTAATCAAACAGAAAGGTATAACAACTAATTTTAAAAATAATTTTCGGGTGATTCAAAATATTTCAGTTTCTTTGTTTTTTTTAGTTTTTAGTGACTATCATCTTATTAATTGTTTCACAATAAAACTCAATAAACATCAATGCTGCATTTGTATCAGATTTTATTTTCAGACAGACACATTAGCAGTTAAAAGCTACTAAGAAATCTGAACAAAAAAAATCAATCATACATTTTCTAGTTGGAAATTGGTCAACAAACATATTTCAGATAAAGGAGAAAATGCAAAGAATTGTGGTCCCCCAGTTTTGGTGTCTTATTGGATGGGGTGCAATTATTTATGGCATATTGTAACTGTCTTGTCTGTGTGTCCTGTCTTGTCTTTCCACCATACAAAAAATACTTTAACTTTTTTAATTAATAAAAGTTACCGCAAAGATTAAAGTTTCTCAAAACTACATCAAACTTCAAGATCAAGGTGATGAGGTCAAATATCATAATACAATCCAAAAGGTTTTGTCACAAGTAATGCACATGTGAAAAATACTAAAGCCCTGTTTCTTCTGGAGAATAAGTTATGGCAAAAGTAAACATTTTTTATTATTGGGTCAAACTTCTAGGTCAAGGTCAGGAAGTCAAAAATGATCTGAAAGGTATTGACACTGCAGGTTATGTATATGTAAATACCTGTCATTTAAAAGTTATCACCAAAGTTAAATTTTTTGAAAAGGAGTCAAACTTCTAGGTCAAGGTTAAAGGGCAAAAATCATAGAACATTTAGAAAGGTCTTGTAACATGTAATGAGCAAGTCAAATATGAGTGCCCTATCTTCTCTATTCAAAAGTTATCACTAATGTAAAATTATTTTGAAAAGTAGGTAAAAATCCAAGGTCACAGTGTCAAAAATCACAGTACATTTGGAAAGGTCTTCTCACTTGTAATGCACATGTCAATATCAATACCCCATCTTCTCCCATTCAAAAGTTATTATAAATGTAAATTTTTTTGAAAAGTAGGTCAAAGTCATGGGATCAAAAATCTGAGTATAGTTGGAAAGGTCTTCTCATAGGTAATGCTCATGTAAAATATTAAAGCCCTATCTTCTCTCATTCAAAAGTTATCACCAATGTTAAAGTTTTTGGGACAGACAGACAGACAAATGAGATTTAATGTCCCCTCATTTCACAAAACATTAGGGATCCAAGCATCTAAATATAATTTTTATATTAAGGATCTCTATAAAGTGGCATTTTTGTCCTTTCATCACGAGAACACAGGACCATATTTCAGAGACTTCAAAGACTTCTTAGATCATATTATTAAGAAGCATGAAATAAAAATTTCACTTGAAGATTTCAATTTCAAGCTTCATTGTGAGACTTGTTCAAATAAATTGCAATGTTCAATACTGCCAATATATTGGTCTACTCCAAATTTGCAATATTAAATTTGTCCGTGAATTATATATTGCATAATTTTTTTCATTACCAATTTTGACTGTATGCTAACCATGCAGATGTAGATCTACTAAATAAATGCTAAATATGGTGCTGTATCTGAATTCAAAACCTGTCTACAACTCTCCAGTGACATTTTCTTGTTTTAAATCCCTACAGTGTTTAAAAAATAAGGAAAAAAATAAAATTAAAAAAAATTAATTCATAACCAGGTTTACAAAATACAAACACTAAAGGAAAAACCATAATTTTGTTTCCATTAATATCAAAAAATAGAAATCTATTCAATGTTCTGCTTGCATGCTGTGTAAAATGGAAGTGAATTTCTCTGGAGGTCTCTTAAAATTCTTACAAAAATAAAACAGTAAGCACTTTCTCTTCACCAAGGTTACATGCACAGTGTACAACAACACATCTCCTATATGTTTACAATAAAATAATAATTCTATACTCAGGACTTCAAATTCAGCAGTAGTGAACTATGTAGCCACTGGACAGTATATCATTTCTATTAATTATATTAAATGATCAGAACCAAGAGAGGTTGTTTTGGAATAATTTGATTGAAAAAAATACATGGCTGACAAGTCTACTAAATCTTTCAAGAGAAAAGGGGAAAAATCCAATATATTGTTATATTATTTGCAATATGCCACTGAATATTGCAATATATAGCAATATAATTTTTTTTGACAATATCCAACCCTACAAATGAATGATAATGTTCCTGGCTAAGGGGTGGACATGTTTATGAGTCACAGTTATGACTTCTACTGTGTAAAAAAGATTCTGTGAAAGCCTCACTAGATTTTTATTAAGTGGTTTAGGAGGAGTTGTAGATAAGAGATGGGTACCTCTCAATATAATAGAAAGAATGACAGTGTCTATGTTTTCCTACAGGAAACCCAAAATATATATGTCTAATCAAAAAAAAATAGGAGGTGCACAATGACACTATGTAACAGAGATTCTGTGAAAGTCTCATTAAATTTTATTCAGTGGTATAAGAGGAGATTCTGATAAGAGATGGGTAACCCAGAGCATAACAGACTGACGGATGTACAGACAGATGGACACCATCATCACTATACATCCCCATCTTTTCAACGGGAGGTTATAAAAATAATGTCATATATAATAATATATAGAAAAACACTACAATGTATTTCAATTTCCAAATGATATCCCAGGCTAATTTCAGGATATAAGCCTTCCACTAAAGATTTCAAATTTCGATGTATTTAAAGAAAAACAAGATGTGTTTGTGAAACACTGATGCCCCCGTATGGCAGCTTATGGTGAAGGTTAAAGTTTCTTCAAATGCAAGTCAAAATCCAGGCCAAAAGATAAAAAATGTTGATACCCAAAGAAAGGTCTTGTCTCGAGGAATACACCTGTGAAATTTGAAAGACCTAGATACAACTGTTCAAAAGTTATGGCGAAGGTTAAAGTTTTTTAAATAAAAGTCAAACGTCAAGGTCATGGTCAAAGTGGTTGGTATCCAAAGGAAGATCTTGTCACAAGGATTACATATGTGAAGTATGAAAGCCCTAGCACCAACCATTCAAAGGTTATGGCCAAGGTTAAAGTTTTTCAAAAGTAGGTCAAACTCCTAGGTCAATGTCAAAGGGTCAAAGTGGTTGGTATCCAAAGGAATGTCTTGTCACAAGGATTACATATGTGAAGTATGAAAGCCCTAGCATCAACCATTCAAAAGTTATGGCCAAGGTTAAAGTTTTACAACAGTAGGTCAAACTCCTAGGTCAAGGTCAAAAGGTCAAGGTCAAAGTGGTTGGTATCCAAAGGAAGGTCTTGTCGCAAGGATTACATATGTGAAGTATGAAAGCCCTAGCTCCAACCATTCAAAAGTTATGGCCAAGGTTAAAGTTTTTCAAAAGTAGGTCAAACTCCTAGGTCAAGGTCAAAGGGTCAAAGTGGTTGATATCCAGAGGAAGGTCTTGTCACAAGGAATACACATGTGAAGTTTGAAACCCTAAGCACCAACTGTTCAAAAGTTATGGCCAAGGTTAAAGTTTTTCAAAAGTAGGTCAAACTCGAAGGTCAAGGTCAAAAGGTCATGTGAAGTTTGAAACCCCAAGCACCAACTGTTCAGAAGTTATGGCCAAGGTTAAAGTCTCATAAAATTTTGCAAAAGTGGGTCAAACTCCAAGGTCAAGGTCAAAAGGTCAAATATGATGGTACCCAAAGAAAGGTCTTGTCACAAGGAATACACATGTGAAATATGAAAGTCATAGCTCCAACCAATCAAAAGTTATGGGCAAGGTTAAAGTTGACAACAGACAGACAGACAAACAGACAAACGGACAAACAGACAAACAGACAAACGGACAAACAGACAAACAGATAAAAAGACAAACAGACAGAAAGGACAAAAACAATATACCCCCAGGATCTTTCGATCCGGGGGCATAAAAATATTTAAAATGAAAATATTTAGAAATTAATTCTTTCATTTTTGAAGTTCATGAAGGATGTGATTTGAGCCATCTAATAAAGGCTTTTCCTTATGAAGTGCTTAAATCATATGCTTCATGAAAAATATCTGTGTAATAAATCTTTATAATGAAATTTACATAAAGAATGTCCTTTAATAATTGTATTAAGACTAAAACCTTTGGAGAAGTAGCATTAAAAAGAATTAAAAAGATTTTTTGGTGACCATGGCAATAGCTTCCATCAAAATTTAAAATGGATAAATTACTAGTGTGTAATATAGTCAAGGCATCATAAATTATATCAAAGGCAGCTGAAATAATATACTCGTAACAAGAATTACATGTACAGTAAAACTCAGTTATGAAGAACTTGCTTATAAAGAAATCTTCAAGAATCTTGGTTATAAGGAAGCAAAATTCCAGGTCTTAGTGACTTCTTTATAAATGAGTTTTACTGTGTTTACAAATGCCAGCAAAGATGAGGACTTTTGGCCTTTAAGGAGAGATGATACAAACTTTTTCCAAAAATTATGAAAATACATGTAACAGCTAATCCCAAGTCAAAGTGAACTGCTTATTTTAGCAGTTTATAAACAGTTATTAGGCAGTCTGGCAATTTTTTGGCAGTTTTTAGGCAGTTCTTAACAGTCTTAGTCTTAGCATTCCTTAAAACTGCTTACAGACTGGTTAAAAAACTGCTAAGAATTTGTGTAAGCAGTTCAGTATTGAACAAACTTAAGCAGTCAAACAAGCAGTTTCTCAAAACTGCTAAAAGTGCAACTAATTCATTTCGACTTCTTATAAGAAGTAATTCAACACTTTTTCACTCTTGGTGGTCCTAACTTTCACTAGCCTTCATTACTGCCCATGTGTTACTGTTAATGCTTCCTGATGATAACGTACGTCACAAATAATTGGGGGCCAGGCAGGAGTTTCTTATACAGAAAATAAAATTAGAAAGAAAAAATATATACTAAAAATCTTACTAGAAATGATACAATAGTTTATAATAAATTGAGGCTTCATATTATAAAAAGCATGAGCATATGAGCTTCTAATCTTTATCCCATCAACTTGCAAATCCAGTCCTCTAGTTACATTAACAACCTGCTGTGTCCCCCTTGGTTGCTTGAAACTAAAGGGTTGTATCCAATGAGGAAAGCCAGTCAAGATTTGTGCGCCTTTTCCACATCAGTTCAAAATTACAAATTGTGAAGATGTTTGTGATGGTCTGGAATATTATATATATTTATACCCATACAGTGAAGAAGTAAAATGTATGCTTTGGAAAATACAATTATCTGTGATCACCACATCCAGGATTGGATGTGAACATAATATTTAGTGACAAGTGTATCTGAATTAAATTCCATGAGATGGGAAATCATTATTATAAAAATCTGATCATACATGCATTCAGCAACAATGGAATTGAGTGATATAGGAAAATTTTTAAAAGATTTGTTGGCAGTAAAGTATTATTATGCTTCAGAAAATATGGTAAGTGTGTGGGCTTGTGATATAATAGTCATCCCCACTCTCATTTGGATAACTGTTAAACTATAAAACGTATAATCTAGTTTGTATTTTAATTATTAGTACTTAGTATAAATTCAAAATATTTGCAGATAAATTTAAGCTATACTGATAGAGGGATCTGTAGATTAGTCCACTGTATTAATTAACCAAGCTCTAAAGTTGCCACTCATTTATGCAAGAAAATGGACTTAATGAAAGGACTTATTTAATACAATTCATACCTGATCTAAATCTCAATACTAAGTTAAATTCCCTTATGTGATGTTATTTTTTCAATAGCATAAATTATATGCATTTTTGTATTCATATATCATGTATATGGGTGGTGTTATCTTCTTATAAGTAGACAAGAATAGTACTTATAGCATTCTTTTTACCGGTTTTTAAGCAGTTAATCAATTTTCAAATTTATATGTAGGTCACTCAGAGTCATTTCCATATAAGTAGAGCAAACAAAAGAAAACACCTTTAGCAGTTATTAAGCAGTTTTTAAGCAGTTCTCCTTAACCTTCCTATTGACTGCTAAGATACTGCTAAGGAAACTGCTAAGCAACTGCTAAGTTACTGCTAATGAACTGGCTAAGTACTGCTTAAATTGTGGACTGCTAAGAAAACTGCCTAATGATCAGTATGACAAAAACCTTCTGCCACCAACAGAGGAGAAGGCTAGTAAACTGTCTAAGAACTGCTAAAGCACTGAACTGTTAAGGTTAAAAAACTGCTAAAGAACTGCCTTTCACTTTGACTTGGGATTTGATGTTTATAAAAGTAAAATGAATAAGTTTATACTATATAAACCATATACCACATAAAGTTTCATTTTTCATTCAAATTTTCTCAATAATGTCCTATAAAGTGATAAAAAAAATTGATTTATAAGGGTGGTAGCAAAATGGAAGAAATTTAAATATCAAAGAAAGTCTACAATTTTTTAATACTTTAGAGATTTGACAAATGCATCATTTATTACCAAAATCAGTCAAATCTACATACACCAATTTATGCATCCAATTTTTTGTTTGTATCTTGTGTCCTTAATCACGTAATCCTTCCAGCATGAATAAATGTCAATACCCTGTATCAGGATAATTAAATACTTACACAACGTAGACATAATTATCTGGATAACTTGGGATCTTAATGAGCCTATTTGTATTTGGACGTCATGTATCTATGGTTATACATATATTTAGAGCCATACAAGATAAATAAGTGAAAGGTATATAGCTAATATGGCCACCACCCACAATTAATGTTTAAAACCGAGGCCAACAATAAAAAACAAGAGGCCCATGGGCCACATCGCTCACCTGAGCACATTGGCTAGGCAAAAGCACAAATCAGTTCAGTATTGAAAAGATTACCTGGGGGTGGGGGGGAGGGGGGGGGCTTGAATTTTAAACTACCTGATGAAGCTTCCATGTCAATATAAGAAATGGCTTTATTGTACTTGAGAAGATTTTTAAAAAATTTTCCCATATATTCCTTTGTAAAAATTTGATCCTCCATTGTGGCTCCTCCCTATCCCAGGGGTCATCATTTGAACTTGAATCTACACTACCTGAGGATGCTTCCCTATCAATATGACTAAACATAGCTTTCCTGTTCTTGAGAAGAAATATTTTTTCTATATGTTCTTATGTAAAACTTTCGATCCCCCAATGGGCCCCATCCAACCCCTGGGGGTCATCATTTGAACAAAATTGAATCTACACTACCTGAGGATGCTTCCATATCAAAATGACTAATCATGGTTTGCAGTTCTTCAGAAGAAGATATTTTCCTATATATTTCTATTTAAGACTTTGATCCTCCATTGTGGCCCCATCCTACCCACCGGGGTCATGATTTGAACAAAAAAGAATCTACACTACCTGAGGATGCTTCCACATAAATATGACCAATCAGGGCTTTGCTGTTCCTGAGAAGAAGATTTTTAAAATTTTTCCTATACATTTCTATGTAAAACTTTGATCCTCCATTGTGGCCCCGCCCTACCCCCGGGGGTCATGATTTGAATAAATTTGAATCTACACTACCTGTGGATGTTTCCATATAAATATGAAAAATCTGGGCTTTGCTGTTCCTGAGAAGAAGATTTTTCCTATATATTTCTATGTACAACTTTGATAGGCCATTGCAGCCCTGCCCTACCCCCAGTGGTCATGATTTGAACAAACTTGAATCTACTCTACCTGAGGACGCTTCCATATGACTCATCATGGCTTTGCTGTTCTTGAGAAGAAGATTTTTAAAGATTTTTCCTATATATATATTTCTATATAAAACTTTGATCCTCCATTGTGGCCACGCCCTACCCCCGGGGGTCATTATTTGAATAAACTTGAATCTACACTACCTGAGGATGCTTCCATATAAATATGACTCATCATGACTTTGTTGTTCTTGAGAAGAAGATTTTTAAAGATTTTTCCTATATATTTCTATGTAAAACTTTGATCCCCCATTGTGGCCACGCCCTACCCCCTGGGGTCATAGTTTGTACAAACTTGAATCTACACTACCTGAGGATGCTTCCACATAAATATGACTCATCATGGCTTTGCTGTTCTTGAGAAGATTTTTTTAAAGTTTTTCCTATATTTCCATGTAAAACTTTGATCCTCCATTGTGCCCCCCTACCCCCTAGGGTCATGATTTTAACAAACTTGAATCTACACTACCCGAAGATGCTTCCATATAAATATGACTCATCATGACTTTGCTGTTCTTGAAAAGAAGATTTTTAAAGATTTTTCCTAAATATTTCTATGTAAAACTTTGATCCTCCACTGTGGCCACGCCCTACCCCCGGGGGTCATGGTTTGAACAAACTTGAATCTACACTACCTGAGGATGCTTCCATATAAATATGACTCATCATGACTTTGCTGTTCTTTAGAAGAAGATTTTTAAAAATTTTTCCTATATATTTCTATGTAAAACTTTGATCCTCCATTGTGGCCCCGCCCTACCCCCGGGGGTCATGGTTTGAACAAACTTGGATCTACACTACCTGAGGATGCTTCCACATAAATATGACTCATCATGGCTTTGCTGTTCTTGAGAAGAAGATTTTTAAAGATTTTTCCTATATATTTCTATGTAAAACTTTGATCCTCCATTGTGGCCCCGCCCTACCCCCGGGGGTCATGGTTTGAACAAACTTGAATCTACACTACCTGAGGATGCTTCCACATAAATAGGACTCATCATGGCTTTGCTGTTCTTGAGAAGAAGATTTTTAAAGATTTTTCCTACATATTTCTATGTAAAACTTTGATCCTCCATTGTGGCCCCGCCCTACCCCTGGGGGTCATGATTTGAACAAACTTGAATGTACACTACCTGAGGATGCTTCCACATGAGTTTCATCTTTCCTGGCCCTATGGTTCTTGAGAAGAAGATTTTTAAATGTTGCCATTATTTTTTCACTAATTCCTAATTATCTCCCCTTGAAAGAGGGCATGGCCCTTCATTTGAAGAAATTTGAATCCCCTTTACCCAAAGATACTTTGTGGCAAGTTTGGTTGAAATTGGCCCAGTGGTTCTTGAGAAGAAGTCGAAAATGTGAAAAGTTTACAGACAGACAGACAGACAGACAGACGGACAGACAGACAGACGGACAGACAGACGGACGCCGGACAAAATGTGATCAGAAAAGCTCACTTGAGCTTTCAGCTCAGGTGACCTAATAATTTGTTTGATGTAGTAGATGTAGTAGATGTACTCCAACTAACCCATCAAAACTGCACCTTCCCGATCATTTTTATTTTCAGTAGTTTCTGGGAAAATAAAGACTGTTCATATCTTTTTTAAAGTTAAGATTTATCATTTCCCCAAGACCCTTTTTAGATTGTAAGAAGCATTAAATATTAAATTCTAGTTGTCAGGCTTTAAAGAAAACATCAGTAATTATAAATTTTTAAGTCTGTAATTTTTTATGATGTCTATCAACATGTTTGATAATCCCCCCCCCCCCAAAAAAAAAAAACAAAAACATACATACCTACCCATCTTGACAAATGTGGGACAGAGTACATCATATAAATTTTTTTTTAATGATGGCCCCAAGACCCTTGCTACTCCCTATAAACAAGTGTTCCAACCATCACTATATGTTTCAGAAACCTCCATGGGAAATTTTACAGAAGGGAACTCTGTATTCTTGGATGTTGAATTAGACAATAAATTTTCAAACATTTCATTTTTTAATATGAAAAAATATTATTTCCAGGTCACTGATAATAATAGTTATAAGTAGATGTATGTTTCTTACATTTGTAAGTTTTAAGATTCCCGTTTCTTCAGGGTTAAATGCATTATTATGTGCAGAAGAAGTTGTAATTTTTTTTTAAATGTGTTTCTGATAGAAGATAGAATGAAAGATTTTCCTTATTATTAGTTATTGGGAAAAACCATTGGAAAATGATTATACAAATAACCAGATGTCCCTGATGTTACATGTAAGTAAAGCTATCAGTATTTCTGCAATAGGCTTATACAAAATTAAGCATGATTAATCTTGGAAAAACTTTCCTTGATATGAAACTACCATCATACCTAATTATCTCAAACTCCATGGGGCCAAGAAAGATTCTCAATATTGAGGTTAAAAAGAATTCTCACTAATTTAACATATTCATGGTGCTGTTCAATCCATTTCATTTGTAATGAATAAATATATTTTAAACTAAACTAACATATTCATGGTATCTGCAAATCAATGATTGAAAACTGAAATTTAAAATATATACAAAACTGCACTTATTATCTGTCTTACAAATCCTACCAAACCCAAGATTAAAAAAAACAAGAGGCCCAAGGGCCTTAACGGTCACCTGAGTATAATACAACAATTTAGAGGATCCATAGAGTATAAAATAAACTGATAGATGAAGCTTTGTTGCCCAAAAGCAAGAGAAACAGGATGATCAGAATCAATGAAATAATTAGTCTAGTATTCAGTAACAACTCATACATTAAATTCTTATTTATCCCCCATTTAGCACTATCACCATGCAGACTATTAACAAACTAATAGTTCCTCTGTACTACTTTTAACCCACATCGCAACCTGTCACATTGGCCTCTCTTGGTCTTTGAAGAACATTTAATAAGTTATTTTTGTCTCTTTTTTATCTATTTATTATTTACAAGTCTATCTGGTCATGAGCCCTGACTAGGACCAGAACACTTGACCAAATGGTCCTGATGTTCAAAAATCTGGTAAAAATATCCTTGCTTATTAAAACTTTAATTCTGTTCGTCTTCAATATGCCAAGGAGCAGAGAAGATTTTCAAAGAAATAATGCATTTTCACTACAGATTTAACACACCCCTACCCTAACACCCATGTCCCCGGGTCATGAAATTCATAAATTTGGTAAAGGTACCCTCATCATCATCATAACTATGCATTTAGTTGAAGATTTTCAAAGAATTAACACATTTTCATTTTATTAACAAATAAAGCCCTCCCCCCCCCCCCCCCCCCCCCCCCCCCCCCCCGAGATACACCAAAACCTGAAGAGCGCAAAATTTAAAATTTTGTAAGAAGCTTAATTGTTCATCATAACCATGCACTTTATTTATTTGCTCAACACTAAGGAGCAGACAGGATTATTTAACAGAATTAATGCATTTTCACTATATTATCGAAAGAGACCCATCCTTACACCAGAACATCTGACTTAGAGGCTATGATTCATGAAGAAGCACTCTTGTTCATCATAACTACACTCTTAGTTTACTTTATAACCAGGAGCAGAAAAGAAGATTTTCAAAGAATTAATGCATTTTCACTATATAATCAATAGAGCCCCCCCCCCTCCCCAACCCTGGGGCCATGAATTTCACAATTTTGGAAAAAGCATCCTTGTGCACCATTACCATGCACTTAATTTGTTTAAATAATACCCAGGAGCAGAGAAGAAGATTTTCAATGAATTAATGCATTTTCACTGTATAATCAATAGAGCCCCGCCCTAACACAAGAACCCGACCCAGGGGCCATGAATTTCATATTTTTGGAAAAGGCATCATTGCTTGTCATAACCATGCACTTAGTTTGTTTAAATAATACCCAGGAGCAGAGAAGAAGATTTTCAAAGAAATAATACATTTTCACTATATAATCAATAGAGCCCCGCCCTAACACCAGAACCCCTGACCCTGGGGCCATGAATTTCACAATTTTGAAAAAGGCATCATTGCTTGTCATAATCATGCACTTAGTTTGTTTAAATAAAATCCAGGAGCAGAGAAGAAGATTTTCAAAGAATTCATGCTTTTTCACTATATAATCAATAGAAACACCCCCCCCCCCCTAACCCCAGAACCCCTGATCCAGGGGCCATGAATTTCACAATTTTGGAAGAGGCATCATTGCTTGTCATAACCATGCACTTAGTTTGTTTAAATAATACCCAGGAGCAGAGAAGAAGATTTTCAAAGAAATAATGCATTTTCACTATATAATCAATAGAGCCCCGCCCTAACACCAGAACCCCTGACCCTGGGGCCATGAATTTCACAATTTTGGAAAAGGTATCATTGCTTGTCATAACCATGCACTTAGTTTGTTTAAATAATACCCAGGAACAGAGAAGAAGATTTTCAAAGAATTCATGCTTTTTCACTATATAATCAATAGAGCCCCGCCCTAACACCAGAACCCCTGACTCAGGGGCCATGAATTTCACAATTTTTGAAAAGGCATCATTGCTTGTCATAATCATGCACTTAGTTTGTTTAAATAATACCCAGGAGCAGAGAAGAAGATTTTCAAAGAAATAATGCATTTTCACTATATAATCAATAGAGCCCCGCCCTAACACCAGAACCCCTGACCCAGGGGCCATGAATTTCACAATTTTGGAAAAGGCATCATTGCTTGTTATAACCATGCACTTAGTTTGTTTAAATAATATCCAGGAGCAGAGAAGAAGATTTTCAAAGAATTCATGCTTTTTCACTATATAATCATTAGACCCCCCCCCCCCCAACACCAGAACCCCTGACCCAGGGGCCATGAATTTCACAATTTTGGAAAAGGCATCATTGCTTGTCATAACCATGCACTTAGTTTGTTTAAATAATACCCAGTAGCAGAGAAGAAGATTTTCAAAGAAATAATGCATTTTCACTATATAATCAATAGAGCCCCACCCTAGCACCAGAACCCCTGACCCTGGGGCCATGAATTTCACAATTTAGGTAGAGGGTCCAATGCTTATTACAATCATGCCAACAGTTTGACTGCTTGATGTCCAGGAGTAAAGAAGAAGATTTTTAAAGATTGCATCAATTTTGGTGGTTTTAGCCACACCCCTGGGGCCCCAGGGGGGCAGGGACCATGAAATTCACAATTTTTGTTCCCCTTCACCCATAGATACTATATGCCAAATTTGGTTGAAATTGGTTGAGCGGTTTTAGAGAAGAAGCTGAAAATGTTCAAAAGTTAACGCACGACGCAAGACGGACGACGCACGACGACAGACAAAAACGGATAGCAATAGGTCACCTGAGTGACTCAGGTGACCTAAAAAGGGTGTCTATGGTTGGTCATGTCTGGAAAATCCCTAATTGAGTATTTATTGAGAAATACTATAGAAGAGTACTAAATAGGAGTTTAAGACTTTAGTGTACAATGGAAATGCTAGTCATAATCACCCTAACCTTTAGAGTTTTTCCTCCACTCCAGCAGTAAATCGATGGCATACATGGCTCGGGATTGAGGACAAGGGGTAATTCCTTGAGGGCTGGGCAGAGCTGTAGCTGTCTGGAATACCTCCCTAAACATCTGGAATATGTCCTCCTAAAAAATTGTTTTAATTTCCAGTTAACCTCTCCATTTCTTTACATTTGTAGGATATTTTATAGTTACATCTAATTTTCTCAATTCTAAAACTTCTTCAAAACAAAATTCTGAAATATCTTTTTTAATTTTAAATAACATAAATATACATGCATGTACTTATTAATTTATAAAGGAACACTCACTTCAACATCAGCCCATTTGTATGCAGGGTATTGTGATTCAAACATAGGTATAAAGTCATCATAGTTCACCTGAAACCCAGAGAAAAAGCAAGTGAACTCTGGAATAAAAAAGCTGTTTTAACATGTAAATTCATATCAGATAATGCAATTTTTATAAAACCCTCCCCTTAATAATAAACTACATGTATTTACATTAAAGGGAAAATCTGTGGAATAATGGTCATTTAAAGAGAAATTTCCCCCATGGTTAACTTAATTCTTAAACATTTTTCCCAATCCATAAATGTACATACACATATTCAACACAGAATTCAATCAATTCATATACAGTAAAAACTTGTTTATTACAATCACAGATTAAAACAAATTTACATATAGAGTGATATTTTATGGATCTCCTACAAAATTCTTCACAATTCCTGGTAAAATTTTACGTTAACTTAATATAAATGATCTTTTGATATTATGATGAATGTATGGATATAGTGAATTGGTATCTCTTAATGGTTAAAAAAAATAATGAAATTTACATAATATATTTATCAATATTGTTTAAAGATCTCAAAATGTAAAACATTGAACTGACATTATTTTTCCTAATTATTTACATTTGAAACATAATTCATTAAAAAAAACTTTAATTCTCGAAAGTAAGTTTTGTATTGAATACTTTCCTGAACATATGCAGTATATGTAGTTAGATTCATTATACAGATCTTATATAATAAATTATGGTTATTGTGAAGTAAACATATAGGTCTCCAGTACTTTTCTATAACCATGTTTTACTGTAGACTAAAAGCTTTAACTGCAGAGTTTTTCTTTAGAGGGTTTTCTTCAATACTTTGATACCTGATTTAGCTTCTGTCCATCTTCTACATAATTCATCACAGTAAAATGTTTCTCGTACTCATCAAAGTGATCTAATGAGAAAGGCCTGCAAAAATATTGACATCTAGTGTTATTTACAATGCCTACATATCATAAATATGTATAGAAGCTATTCACAGGAAATCATGCCTAAAGATATAGTGAATCAATAGCTAGAACAAAGTGAATCTCAATCCCTTTAGCTAACCACTAGATACAAGAAATTTCTTAGCCTGAAATAAAGGTGCCTGTATACTCCAATAGGTGTGTTTTACTGTAAAGTTATGAAAATAGGGTTTTGGGCCTCAAGCCCCCACCCCAACCCCCCATCCCTCTCCAATCTTAAATTTTGTCATTTAATGCCTAGAAGAAATCAGCATCTTCAGCTTGATGATACATGTATAAAATTATACTAATAAGTTATACAAAAACTGAAGTGTTAACCACAATAAAAACATAAAGTTTACAAAAAATTTTGACTGCATGAACAGAAATATTTCTGACACTGTATGTGACTAATTCTGGTTACTTCATTATTCCCTACTGCCAAACATATACATTTATGTAGACTTGAAATTAAGTAAATTTTATCAATATATATATATATATATATATATATATATATATATATATATATATATATATATATATATATATATATATATATATATATATATATATATATATATATAATTATATATATATATATAACCATTCAATTTAAAATTCAAATAAGTCTAGAGTCAAGAGTATATTAAAAAACCAACTTCATTATCTCAAATCCTCAAATATTTCAATGTTTCCTTCAATAAAATTTTTACTGTATCTCAATTCCTTGTTCCAAAATGTCTTTTAAAAAAAGCACATACCTGTTAGCAAACCTGAGCCAAAACACCCTATAAACATACAGCTTTAGAGGAGCCACGCTTGAGAGGAGGACAATATAGCGCACATCAAATTTAACGTTGCCAATGTCCTCCCTCATAAACAGGACAGGATCGTGCACGTATTTACAGGCGATTTTTGGCCCACTGTCTGGCAGTCTGAGGATGTAGATCAGGTTGTCTGTGATGTGCATGTCCAGACCTCTGGCTAAATTCCATGGCTTGCATATCCAGTGGTTGTTGAGAGCTCTGCAATATAATCCCTTTTTTTTATATAAAACTTCCAGAAATTCTATTTTTCAAGATGTTTTCATGATGAAATCTTTTAAGAAATGTTTTTTCTTTAAAAAAAAAAAAAAAGAAACTCCCTGAATATGACATTATTTTTTTCATCATCTTAAATGCCACAAAATGCTTAATACAGTGAAATTCAGTTTCAACTGCAATATTTTTTAAAGATGCAATAAACATGATTTATGAAAGATATATGTATCTAATTACATAACGGTACATAACATTATGGATTCTTTTAGTAACTTAACTATTCTTATAACATATACAATATGTATTTTTGATCCGTATATCTCTTGTATATGCATTTATCAATGAATATACAACATTATTATGCATTGCTCTCATTATGTTTGTTCTATCATTTGGATCCTCCCAGGGTTAGAAACTCCCTAAAATTACAACTCGCAAATAATTGCGAGTACCAAGAAAGTGAACTCGCAATTTTATAAGACTACTCGCAATTTTCATATTAAGTTAAATTTATATAAATTAAATACATGTAACTTAAGGAAAAGGTAACTACTGTACAATACACAAAATACAACTACAGTGTGACTTTTATTTCAATTACTGATTTAAATCAAAAGCATTGTGTTCTGTCATATGATATAATTTTGCTACAGTTTCAATGCAAAAAAATCAACTCGCAATTTTTTGCGAGTTACCTAATTTTTAACTCGCAATTTGGGAATTCTAACTCGCGTTTTGCGAGTTGTATATAGTGAATTTCGAACCCTGTCCTCCTCTTTCTTTTTTGTTTGTAATTCTTTGTTGCTCCCACAACGTGCAACAAATATGCCCTCACGCATCCTCTGGGGCACGGAGAGGATAAGTAAGTAAGTAAATTGCAACAAATTGCCCAAATTGAACTAACAAAATCTTATACTCTTATACTTTAATTGACACCAATAAAAAAAATCAAAGAATTCTTTAACAATCTGGTATTAATCAAAAGACCTGAGCAAGCCTGAGGAAAGCTATCTAATCGAGTTATCTTTTCAAAGAGAAAAGTTATTTACATGTATGTTCCAAAGCCCTCAATGAATGTTCTTACTTTTTCTCTCTGTGTTGAAAGTAAGACACAAATTGTGTAATTTCAGTTTCCAGGTTGTAGGTGACCGGCAGCCATTTTGGATTCCTCTCCAGTGTGTCTGGGTCTTCCTTGCCATCCCCGGCACGACGACAGACCACGGCCAGCAGGTCCTTCACCGTGATTACTCTCTCAAACGGAAACTGATTCACACACTTGTCAGGGTATTTGCTGCAAAGTCAAGATTTGGTGTGATTTCATAAATCAAAATCTAAATTGTGTAATTTGTATGAGCTCATTCTGTTTTCATTTACGCTAAGAATATGTAATTGGTCAAATTAAATCAAAATTTTTTGTCTCAATAAATGAAATCTCAATTTTTAAATGTATAATACAGACTAAAATAAATCCAGAGAAAATGTAAGCATTGGATCAGATGTACAGAATTTTTTTATTGAAAATACATTTATCTTTTTTTTCTCCCAAAACTAACTCCTATATGCACCATACAAAAAGCATCACCTTGTACCATATGTAATCACAATAAAAACTTCGAATTTTCTACTTTGACTTACTCATATTCTTTGAAGTGTTTTTGGATAAATATAATATCAGCCTCTTCTTTAGTTTCCACAATATCAAATCTTTTATCTGTCAGAAACTGGTGGAAGTTCATATATTTCAGGTAAACTTTGGGATTCCTGTCTCTTGGGAGTCCAGAAAACTTATGATTAGGGTCCGGCATGCTTTCCAATTTGATAAATGACTGAAAAATAAATAAATAACAAAACATATCTTTAATGTAGTAATTATAACAATACATGTGTTCTTACAATAATGCCTGATTTTTGTTTTATTCATTTTTTGTTTTTGGAAAATTTATTTAGTACATGTACTTTGTCATTCTAAGAGTGCATGCAGCCACAGATAGGATATTGTAACATCTTTTTTTATCCACACTGAAGCAATTTTCTTTTGCAATTTTGTTACCAAGTCAAATACATATAAATTTCCTCTGTGAATTCTAGAAATTCACCAATTAAACAGATGAGAAAGGAGTCCTGGTCCTTTTGTAGCCATCCAAGACTTGAGTGGACATAAAACCCCCAACATTGTTAGGATGCCATGCTCCCAAGTCTTAATGTTGGCGAAAGTTAGTCTCACTCAGAAAAAAATAAAATCGTATCTAGTACAGAGTTACAACAGCTCTCTCTTTCTATTAACAACTAAAACATACCTGGAAAAATGAAATGTCAGGTTCTTTCTGAGAGTAGTCAACTGCTGTCAAATCTGCGGACACCCAAGGAATCAGTCTGGCTTTCCTTGCTTCAGGGTTCTGTACATTTGGTGTGTAATCTCTGGTTACCTCCTCTATATTAAAAAACAAACAAAATACTCGTAATAGAATTTTCTAGATACATGTGAGTTTGCATCTCACAATACATGTGTATAAATTGCCATAAGAGTATAAACACATGGAAAAGTACCATTCTCTTCAAGGTCTTTTAGAGGCCACATAAGTGTGAAGGAGATCTGAAGAGGTGCAAAATAAAATGGACACATCTTCACTGTTGGTGAGTCTGAGTGCTGAACTCGTGAGCCAAACTCATCCATTATGTACCATATTGGCATTGACTCATCCGAACCCTGAAAGACAGGTGTATGAGACATAAAGTCCAACTAAGAAATGAATTTAATTTTTGAAAATTTATGAGGACATGAACTACGATACTTCATGCTGACATATTTCATAGAATGTGCTAACACTTCATGATAAATATGCAGGTGTGAACCAATATTCCATTAAATAAATGAATATGTTTTTGCAAACATCTTTCTGCAAAGTTGGGGCAAGTGGCAAAAAGTAAGCATTTTATTACTTTTGTTATCAAATACAAGGATGAAAGTCGCAAAATTCAAGGTCTTAAACTGCTTTGGGACAAAAAATGATGGTTGCATGTCACATTAGACAGGAGTCACTGAATTCAGGTGAAATTTAATGAAAAAATTTATGGAAGGAAATTTAATGGCCACATATAACAGGTAGTTGCTAAATACAGGTGGTCACTATGACAGGTTGACTGTATATGTACGTACCTGTGTGTTTTATGCACCTATAATAGCATAATGCCATGGAAAGGTGCAAAGAAATGCAAATTAAAACACATGAAGAAGTATTATCTAAGTCAGTATACATGTATATGTATATACTTACAAATTCAGCATTTCCTATACTGTAAGTCTGGTTAAACCTGCAAAGAAAATACCATTATTGATTTTCAACTTCAGAACAGCACAGAAATTTAAAAGTAGGCCCTTTTTATAAGCAATCACTATATTTAGCAAGAGCAATTTACTTACTTCCACATTTGCTGCAGGATGTCTTCAATGACCTCTTCCTTTGTCCTCTCTTCTGATTGGATGTCCATGAGAGCCGCCATTCTTTCCAGCAAACCAGGGATCTGCTCCAGCTGTGGTCGGCAGTCTGAGACTCTGTATGTCCAGGCATGATCCACCAAGAAAATACTGTTAATATGAAATAAAGCTTAATATATTTTGTGATTTCACATTATGCTTTATATATGTTTTTGATAATAATATTGAAAGATTTATGCTGAATCCAATGGTAATATTTTAATACCCAAATACTAAACAAAGAAATGCATTGCTGGTTTCAAAACCATTGTTGGATATTTCTGTCTTTTTTTTATAAACTTAAAAAGGCTGTTGAGTGACATATCTTGTCAATGTTCAACATACTTTTAATACAACCCTTATAAGACACATTTACTAATGATATATATCAATAGATGTGCATGCTGTGGTTTAATTTTTAAAAAAAAGTGAGCAGTGTGCAATTAATTCAAAAACAGCTTCATAGCATGATTTCCATGCAGTACCATAATACCTGTTTGGATGTTTGCTCTCTAATGATTTGATTGTTACCACTTTCCACTTATTTCCATCTTCAGTTTGTACACATAGGATTTTGAAGTATTCTCCTGCATCAAATGTCTGTTTTAAAAAAAGATATGAAAATCAGTTTCTTTTTCATAACAACATATCAGTATAATTATTGATCACAGGAACTTATAACAACTTTTTATTTTCGGTAAGGATAAGAATTTGATATATAAACAATATAAGAAAGCATACAGAAGACTAACAGAATGACTAAGGCACTTTTTATAATGTTCTTATCAATAACCTTATTTGATGTAAACTAGGAAGGTTTTATGGTAAATAATAATCAAGTCACCCCTAGAACTGTTGTAAGCCATAAAAATGACCTAGTCCTGCAACCTAGGAATTCACTTTCAGTCAAGTTCAACTGTTCACTCATGTATTCCTGATCATGCTGATGCCAATCATATAAAGAACTTGTAACAAGTACATGCATTACATGTACATATGGAGGTTTGTGATATGAAGTGATTTGTGCTATATGGACCATGGATATCGGGCTGATAGCACAGTGTATAAAGCATCTGACTAGTAAGTAGTACAAAGACAACTTAAGGAGAGAGGCATGTAGTGGTTTGGGCTTTATCCTGCTTCAGACAAATTTGTAGATTACTGACTGGATAAAAGCTAATCACACGATGCCCTGAAATTTTCTGTATTACATCTCTGTCCAGGGGTAATATTAAAATCGGGCATGGGATTCCATTCGAAGCATTGTTACTGTAAATAAAAATGGCGGCTAAGAAACGATTTGCGTAGGTAGTTAAATTTCTTATTACTTGTTATGATATTTTATGTTGACTGTTACATGTATTGGATTAAAACTTGATCATTGATAGTTTGATAAAATGCTCATAGATTTTTTTGTTGTTGAAATATTTAAAAAGGTCTTCAGCAGGATAAATTTGTTACACAGTAAGTTAGGGACCTAATAAGGAGTCATACAGGGTGTGAAATGGAAATCTTATTGGGCGAGGCAAAAACTAATAATCTAGGCTACATGGACCATGGATATCAGCCCTGGGTAGCTCAGCGGTTAGAGCACTTTCAGACTAGTAAAGCAGGGGTCCTGTGTTCAATTCCAGGTCCAGCATAATTTTTCTCCTTTCCTCAAATTCCTTCTGACAGTTATGGATTGTTCTGAAGCAAATTGTTGGAATTGTCATTTACTGTGTTGCAGTCAGTCATCACAAGAAAAAAACATTTACGCACTGGATTGTCTACAGTTTCTTCTGATCATGACATTAGGAGCTCACAGCAGATTTAGCCGCTTGACAGGGGATGCTTACTCCTCCATGGCAACTGATCCCACTTATGATGTTTTAGAGGTCCGTATTTGCTCTGCTTTAAATTTGGATTGTTTCTATGGACTTTTGAGCTTGGTTACAGTTCGTTATTTTCATACTTTATTACAAAAGATTGAATGTTTACAGTTACATTAAATCAGGGCATCAGAAATTAGGGACATGGGTGTCCTCCATTGGGAAATTTATATATCGTTGTTACAAAATGAATATTTGTTACTTGTCCTTATGATACCGACATCCAGCAAAAAAAAAATCATATATGGCAAGAAACTGGTACTGTGTTTTGAGGTCATACTTTTGTACCCTAGGGTACATCCCCTATTTATCCTTTAGCAATAAGGTTACAAAAAGGTTACAGTATAAAACCATTGAAAAATGAAAGTAGAAAATTTCTGAAGGACTGTTAACGTGACCTGGTTACAGTGGGTACAGAGGTTACTTAATAATACGAATTCTACTTTTATTATTATATTAATTATCTGGATTCTGAATGTAACTTTCTTGCCATATCTAAAAAAAAAAGATACATGCTGACTTGTACAAAATGAAGAATGTCTTTACCTCTTTGCTCAGCTTTTCGAATAGTTTCGGCCAATAGTAATCTGGAACTCCGGAAGCAATTAGTTGAGTTCCATGAGATTCTACAAACTGATGATACTCATTAGGCTGCTGCTCTGATTCTTTAACCTCTTCATCTTTCGTGAGATGAGGCATGGTTTTGTTGACGGAAATGGAATTCTCTAGCAAGGGAGGAGCAAAAGTGAAAGTAGCTTTCGGTATGTATTTAGAGTTATCACTCTCTTTCCGTGAAGAAATCCGAAGTATTCGATTGTTTGTTATGTTCAGACGCGTCTTTGGTTCAATGCTGTAAACAGTGAAATATTCAAAAGAAAACATGCCGCTAGGCATAGATAGAACTCACTTTTATGCAGAAAAGGTTAAAAGACAGGAGAAAGAAATACGTGTAAGTTGGGCACCAAGGAAGGTAGATTCAACTCGATAAGTAAAATACACGCACATGGTCTGTGATTCAATACATAGAAATTCACAAACCTTAAAAGTTGACATAATACCCTTTATCAAAAATGCCCTCATAATATGCATTTATCAAATCGGGATATAGAACTGTTAAAAAAAACTGTTAATTGCCCCTCTGTATTGTCTGATTATTAAACATGTTAAAGATTAGCAAAACAAAACAAATAAAAAAGGAGTATTTGCTCTTTTTTCCAGGCCAAAGATGAGAGGGTTGCCCAGCTTGAAACAGAAAATGCCATGTTATATCTTAAACTTGCCCAACTACATGGCACAGTGCAAAGTGTCAGACAAGAAAACTCATCACTTAATGAACAAGTGGAGTCAGAACAACAATTCCGTAATGGTGTATCTGGGACAGCAATTAAATTACACAGAGAGTTAGAGGTATACATCAAATTATTTCATAATAAATAATCAGTATAAGAAAGTTGGACTTATAATTCAAAGAAGTGTGACTCAAAATTTTCCTTTTGAAGTATATAATATTTGATTTAAAGAAAAAAAAATACACATGTCAAGATTCATGGAACATCGACCTTTATCACATTAACTAGTTTAAATATAGTAAAAATTTTCTTTTATATTTCTAGACTATTAGAAATGATCTCAGATCACTCCAGTCCATTGCCATAGATATACCAGAGCAGTTCCAGAAGTACACCACTCAGGCCAACAAAGTTGTCCAGCGTCACAGACAGGTGTTCCAATCCCAGAATTCCAGTATGACCTCTCTCCAGTCCCAGGTGACCAATATGGAGCTGGCTCTGCAAGAGATCACTGAGCGACATGCCAAGGAGAAGAAACGGAGACAGGAACTTCACAATATCCTCATGGTCAGTTTATTAAAGTTAAGGGAACTCACCAAGAACTAACTGCAAAGACTGTGTTATCTCCCTGAAGCTGTGAACAAAACAGTCAAATGACAAAAAACATTTTGATATTACTGGTAGTTGCAAGTTGTTTTTGCCTACACATAAGTAGCTTGATAGTTGATAATGACGGTAAATAGATTCATGAAAGTTTTATGTTTTTTCAGGAGTTGAGAGGAAATATACGTGTTCACTGTAGAATTCGCCCTCTGATGGAGTTTGACTGTGGGAATGAAGATTCTGGATCTCTAGGGAAGTAAGTCATTGATTTTTTCTTTATGAAAAAGAAGAGACTTTTTTAAAGACTTTAAAAGATTTTGAAATGCTTTCATACTGATACACTTGCTTTACAAAGGTTGTAGATTTCATGGCAAAGAATTTATTCCATGTCATCTACTTTGTATATAGTTTTGGTGTTCTCTCCCTTGAAAGCACAATAAGTATACTATTGCTTTCAAATTGAAAGGACCTATTAATAAAATGAATGCATATTTGCAATAAGTTTATTTTTAAAAAGATTTTGCATCTGAATATCATTGCAGGCCAGGCACTCGCTCAGAAGTGGTGGTGCATTTTGTTGATGATGTAAGTGAAATTCAAAAAGAAAATTCAAGATTATGTTGTTTTGTAATTGATGGAGAAAATTATTAATTAAATAGGTAACTGTACATGCATTCTCATACATAAGATAATAAATGTGTGTTAAAGAGTTCTGGTGTTTGTGTCAAAATTCTATTCCAATTTCAGGAGAATGTCTGCTGTCGTACAGCAAAACACAACAAAGTTTTTGAATATGAAAGGTAAGCCTTCACTATTAAAGGATGAAATATTAAATAATTTATACTCCTTATATTGTTTTGACTTTTAAATCTTGTTTTACAGAGTGTTTGGCCCTACAGAGTCCCAGAATGATATCTTTGAAGAAGTTCAGCCCATGTTAACCTCCCTGTTAGATGGGTAAGCTTGTCATCCAATATTGCACAAAGCATGTGAGATCATTTCTAGATCTATCATGACCAAGCTTTAATTGACACTGTAAAAATTAAAATGTATAGTAAGATTAATGTGTTTCTAAACAGGTGCTTCCTGTTTGTGATTAATGTTGATGTTATTAAAAATTCTACAAAACCTATGTTATTTGTGTATTATAAACCCATTCTTTTGATTTGCTTTTATGAGTTATGGATTAAGATACTAGTAACCTAATGTAAATATGGAAACCTTGTTTACTCTCTTATATACATGTACAGTAATATTTATTGGAATTTATATTCATTTCTATTAACTGGAAAGTCGTGCCTTCATTCTTTCATTCATTTTGACCACTTGTAAGTATATGTAAGTGATCTGACCTGTACTATATCTATATCATAACATTTTATACTATTGTGGTGGTCAGGCAAGTTAGATCATTGATGGTCAGATAACTCAGTTGGTGGAGCACCAGATTAGTGATTCAAGGGGCCTGGGTTAGAACCCTGGTCTGGTCCGTCACATTTTATCCTTCACTGGTTACATTGGTGCCGTGCCATATGCCCTGGAAGTGATAGGTGAAAGAAATGCCAGGAAAGAACCTGGATTGGTGTCTTCAGAGGTGAAGACCTTAAAAGAGTGAGGAATGTGGCAGTTAGGTGGTCACCAGATAGCTCAGTTGGTAGAGCACCTGACTAGTGATTTAGGGGAGCCCAAATTCGAATCTTGGTCTGGTCCATTGCATTTTTCTCCCTTGCTAGTTACAATTTATATATATTTGGACAGATACAATATCTGTACTGTATGACATATGTATTTTTGACAGGAACAATATTTCTTCTTCGTCTTTTTTTTTTTTTTTTTGACATGTACAAAATTGGTACAAAATTTCTATTTGACAGGTACATTGTTTCTATTTTGACAGGAACAATATCTGTATTTTGAACAGGTACAATATCTATATCTTGATGGGTACAATATCTGTATTATGATGTACATTTTTTGGACAGGTATAATATTTGTATTATGGCCTATGGACAGACAGGGAGTGGTAAGACTCATACCATGCTGGGGAGTCATAAAAATGAAGATTACAACCCCTCTAGGGAGCCCCACAGAGATGAAGGGGTCATACCAAGAGCAGCAAGAGAACTCTTTAGGTAGTGGTTATTGATGTACATGTTCACTGGACTTAAGTCTTTACTGAGCATACATTACCTTTATCATAGAAATTATTCTCAGAAGAACAACAATCAAAAGGCACATATAATGAAAATTACACATACAGATTTTCACCAATACAGTATTAAAGTTATGTTGCAAAAGATTAAAAAAATAAAGCATAAAAAATATAAATTGCATACATGTACTAGATTAATAAACATGATAAAAGAATTTATAAGAATAATGTTTTGTTAAATTTCATGGAAAAAATCTTCTTCTTGCAAATGTATTTAGTATTGTACAATGCATATATTGTGATGTTTTTCTGTTTCTTTCTGTTAAGGTTAATATCAGAGAAACAGTCAGCCACACACAAAATAGAGGTGTCTGTGCTTGAGATATACAACAACGAGATTAGGGATCTTCTCAGCAATGACCCCAGTATCAAACATGACATCAATACAAGTACTGATGGCACAGTCAGTGTTCCTACATTATCCTCAAAGTAAGGAAGTATTATATCAGCTAGGCAGTCAGTGTTAATTCCTACATTGTCCTCAAAGTAAGGAAGTATTATATCAGCTAGGCAGTCAGTGTTCCTACACTGTCCTCAAAGTAAGGAAGCATTATTAAAGCTGAGCAATCAATGTTCCTACATTGTCCTCCAAGTAAGGAAGTATTATATCAGTTAGGCATTTCAATCTCTAGTACTGATCAGTCAGTGTTCCTATAGCTACACAGTCCTCCCAGTAAAGAAGCATAAACACGGTTACAGACAACTTGCTTAAAATGAATTCAAGCTTAGAGAAATGATTTTCATTCCATTTTATGAACTTATTGAATTTAAAGAGTTATGTTAACTTTGAAACAAATCAAAATTCCTCTTCCCTGGCACTTTGCTTTAAACATGCTTGATTTGATGACTATGTATTGTACTATGAAAATAATGCATAATGCATGAAATTCCACATACATGTAAAAGCATTCACACATTTACTATATGTAAAAATGGCCAAGTGCTTTTGTGGAATTTTTAGAAATGGATGAGTAAATGCTCAGTTTGCATTCTTAAAGGGTGATTTCAGTACATACATGTACATGAATATACTTGCATTTAATTAGGTCACATTTGGTACCATGCATTTATTATTGATACCTACATGTAGATTCTAATATAGTTATACATAAATCCCAGCACAAATTAATTTGCACATGTAGTTTTAAGACCAGATCATCTTTGTTATATGGAAGAAGACTTAAATAGACATTTATATGCCCACTTACAGATCTTTCTTTTTCTTGAAATGATGTTTAAAATCAAAATTTGTAATTTTATATTTCATTTTAAGTCTGATACAATCAACATTTATATTTACTAATTACAGGCAGGTGGATACTGTTTATGATGTCATGTGTCTTGTTCAGCATGGCCTCCGAACCAGGAGAGAATCAGCAACCATGGTTCATGAACACTCGAGTCGTTCACACCTTGTGGTGACCTTGACAGTCATTTCTCAGGCTCCCAGCTTCTTTTCCAAGACTTCCTCTGGATCTTCTCAAGATTGTATGTATTTTGTTTATTGTATGTATTCTGTATATTTAATTTTGTCAACAAGGTTGTGTTGTCTATAGAAACACATATCTATATACATGTGACATATTTTGGCAATCATGTGACTCACCAATGTGCTAGGTAAAAATTTTATGGTAGATGGTATAATAGACATATTTGTACATTATATACCATGGTTTCATTAAGTTTTGTACACACAAAGATGAATTTCTTTTTTAGTTTTGGTAAATGAACAAATTTTTGCTGGCTTAGTAAAGCTGAATATGTTATAGAAACCAATTTACAAAATTAGCCCTTCATTTTTTTTTTTAATGAAACTTGGATTTTGAATGCAATTATAAAGTTTCCTTTTAGACCTCTAGGCATAGGTCTGTCAGTAATTTAAAGATTTCTCAGTACATGTACGTGTAGATCTATCTGCTTTATATATTTTTGTCTGTGAATTCTTGCATTGACCAACTTTTTACTTTATCAGTGAGTTCACCTAGGTCACCAAATTCACCAAGGTCGACAAAACATTTCAAGGATTTCTTCAATAATATTCCCTCTAATCTCAAAATTAGTAAGTTGGTTGTCCCAGGGACAAAAACCTGTTTGTTTACCAATAGGTCTTCTCTGATTGGTTTATTTCAGTGTTCCTACAGTTTTGTTTTCAGTTCTTTTTTTTTTCCTGAACCTTTTGGTTGTTTACCTTGATTTATTTTCAGTCTTGACATTCCTTATTCATCGGCTCTTATTATGTGGTCTTTAGAGAGATACTTGTTAGATAGGGCATGTCAAGGTTTTGCAAACATTACTTTGACATTGTGAAGAAAAAGATTTATGGAAAAACATAAAGGCATTTATTTAATATAAAGTAGCATTCAAATCTCATTCAATGTTGATTGTACTCAGATGCTTTAGCATTGAGTTTATTTTTATTGTTTATTCCAACTTGATCTGGCCCCTGGATAATGAAACAGATTTAAGTCAAAATTTCAGTAGTCCTTAAAATGTTTATTACTTGGGAATTGAAACTCTTACTTTGCATGCAACAGCAGTTTATTGATGCAAAGTAAAAAAGCATTTTCTTTTTGGAAAGCTTGATTTTTAAATCATTTCAGTGCAATATACATTTCTTGACTTAAGCTTAAGATGTTTCATGATCCTGAGTCTGGTTGTATATACACTACAAAATATTATACCAGTTTTCTTATGAAAAGATTTTTTTAAAATGGCTACTTGATATGTATATTTCATAATAGAATTATTGCAATTTTACTTTCTAAGAAGCATTAATTAGTTCTAATTAAGTTTCTAAGAATACCTGAAGTATTTTTTCAGAAAAATTGCATTTATGTAAACAATATCAACTAAAACCAAACCAAACAAAGTACCAAATAATTAAGTACCTGTGAAGTGAAAAATGAAATTGAAATGAAACCTGTTTCGTTTCAAATCGTTTCGCATTTTACAGGTACCCCAAATAATTCCAACATTCATTAATTTACATTTATTAATTACATGTATCCTTGGTACTTTTTTATCTTTCAGTTTTCACATGAAATAACAACTATTAAAACCATATTAAATGTTTCTCTCTCTCTTTCTCTCACCAATATACAGCTGTGGAGTGGGTGTGATTTTTGGTACAATACACCTCAAACATCCAACTAAAAATTTTACTTAGCTGGGCATTTTTTTATTCAATATGTATACTTAATTTTTTTTTATTAAGGTTAAGAAGAAGTAATATAACCATTAAGCTATCAAAACAATTTATTTTCAAAGTTTCTCACAAATGGATGGGTAAATTTAGATAATACTTATTCATATCAAGTTTAAGTCTCTGAATGTACAAAGTCTAGAACTATTATTGATGCTAAATTTGGATTAAAAGGACTGTATTCTTCTTGCATTCCTATTCATCTGTCTTGTTTGTTGGTTTTTTTTTGTTTGATTTTTTTTTTGGGGGGGTTACAAATATTTTTATGAATCTTCTCCATATATATGCATGTATTGAAATGAATGTTTGTTGAAAAGCCATTAAGGTAAATCTTGGTTTTGATCAACCCTAGACTGTAACATACCGTACATCACTCTTGTTCTTAAATTTATCAGTACAGCGTGATATAAGAGGGAGATCATATTCCACATCGTCTGCCCCTAACCTTGGTAACCTGTCCAATACCTGGTCTGGCGCTGACCAATCCCAGGCCTCCACTGTCCCAGGGATGGGAGCCGTCATTCGCACCAAGCTTCAGCTTGTTGACTTAGCTGGAAGTGAATGTGTGGGTAAGAAAATAAATCTGTTTTCTTTAGGAAGTGCAGGACCTAAGAACATAATGACATATTGAGTCTGGTACTAGCATTATAAATTTATTTCTGTGATTTCTGTAAGGTATGAGTGGAGTGAAGGGTGCTGCTCTCAGAGAAGCTTCCAACATCAACAAGAGTTTATCAGCTCTAGCTGATGTTCTAGGAGCCCTGGCAGAACACAGATCTCATGTTCCATACAGAAATACCAGGCTCACTCATCTCCTGCAAGACTCCATAGGTAAGTCATTCTATCACAAATACACAGGACTCCATTGGTAAGTCATTCTATCACAAATACACAGGAATCCATTTGTAAGTCATTCTATCAGCAAAACACAGGACTCCATTGGTAAGTCATTCTATCACCAATACATGGGACTCCATTGGTAAGTCATTCTATCACAAATACACAGGAATCCATTTGTAAGTCATTCTATCACCAATACACAGGGCTCCATCATGAAGTCATTCTATTACCAATACACAGGACTCCATTTTGGAGTCAATATATCAGCAATACACAGGACTCCATTGGTAGGTCATTCTATCACCAATACACAGGACTCCATCAGTTAGTCATTTTATCACCAATACTTAGGACTCTGTTGATAAGTCATTCTATCACCAGTACACTATGGAAATTATCTTGATCATCTGTGGACATAATATTGACATTACACTGATTGGTGCAGCAAGTTTGTTCTCTTCCATTTATACTTGAAATTTCCAACTTTTCGGTATCATTTAAGAAAACCTTCACAAACATCTTGAAATGACTTGCTGAAATATTTTTCAGGTGGAGATGCCAAGCTGTTGGTACTTTTATGTGTCTCCCCAGCCCAGAGATATATCACAGAATCTCTGCAGTGTCTGGGATTTGGAACAAGAGCTCGGCAAGTCCAGCGTGGCCCAACAAAGCGACGGCTGCCATCCTCTGCCGAGAAAGTGGACTCTTCAAGTGTTCGTCCCAGATCTGCCTCCACTGCAACTGGACCTAGTTTTATTCCAAAACCAACCTGAACTGACTTGTTTACTCCAAAACCAATCTGAACTGACCAAATTTATTCCAAAACCAGCCCAATCTGACCAGTTTTACTTTTATTCACAAATAAGAATTTTCTGTGATATTTTTTATCTGTGATATCATGGTAATATTCAGTCATACATGTATTTATCATATTTTAACTAGTAGTAAATAGCTCCTAGAAACCGAGTAGTTCATTTCGTTAGTTATAAATTGTTTGTACATGTGATGACCAGCATACATTGTACATGTTGTATAGGTATATGTTTATATAGTTTTGTACTCCTTCGACATAAGCATTTCCAGTGTTTTACATGTACACAACATGTTCTGGTGTTCTCCGTCAAAAACTACCACAGATCATACTAGAAGATGGTGGAGCAAGGCGAGTGCAATGCCTATAGTGCATCAAACATGAAGGTGAAAAGTTTAATCTCAATTAAAGCAATATTTTCTTTGAAATTTCATCTAAAATTAAAGTAATCAATACTATATGTAAAATCTCCACAATTTGCAAAAATCGCACTAAGATTTAAATTATATTTGCTTATGAAATAGCATACACACTCTAGAGAGGGCAAAAAGGATCATTTTCTAATACATGTACTACGACACAATTTTTTGATACGAGTGGGTCTTCGCTCCATATTTTTCAAAGTTTGCAAAAAAATATACATTTTTTGGTTAACAAAATCATGGAGCAAAGACCCACTATGCCTTAAAAATACACTTTCATGACATACCATTTGCATCTTTTTCGAGAAATACTTGAAGTCCATTTAGTCAAGGGTCATACCACAAACTTGATTTAAATGCCACAATTCACCAAGAGCTGTGTAGCGTAGTGATCAGTATGTAAGTCTCCGAGGAAAATGATAGGGTTTTTATTGCTTTGGGTTTGAACCCCACAAAAACCACTTAATTTTTTAAATAACAAAGTAATTTTTGCAGAGAAAATTTTCCTCGGAAAAGTTTTATCATAATTTCATAAATTTCAATAATGAGGACTTTACTCTAAAAAATAAATTCATAAATTGATTATGATTTTTATGTACATGTATCTCAAGCTATTTGCATTCTGCGCATCTTGTTCACCCATCTCCTTTGACCCATATCGTAGGGCATAAAATCAGAGATGTGTAAAGTACTGGTCCCAATCTTGTGTATATTAAGTGCCTTGTTTGTTTGAACATTGAATATTTCCAAGATCCATACAAGGAAAAAATAAACTAAGAAACTCTTTTTAAATGTTATATTTTATTCATTTCATTCCTATTATATCTGTTAATGCTACAAATTTGAGATTTTAGCTTTAAAGACTGTTGTATACAGAAATACTCAACATTGCAGCAATTCTGCAGAAACTACAGTGTAGAAGTACTGTAGTAATTTGAAAAAAGGGGGAGGGGGTGTATAAATATACAGTAAATAATATAGTCTTCATATCAAGTATTAAAAAAACAGTAAGGCAAATGCAGGCATGAACAAAAACATTCAGATCTATAATATTATTTTCCAATTTACGGATATAATACAGAAAAACTTTTCTTGAAATTTGCATTTTCAAAATCAAAGAAGTTATGCAGTATCTTCTTTTTATGACATTTATATACAGTGAAACCTGTTTAATCTGACATGCTTGGGAGACAAATTTTGTGTCAAAATAGACAGGGTGTCAGATTACACAGTGTAAAAAACATGGAAAATAGGAATCAAATTCAATGTCGGTATTCACAGTGAAACAGATTGCACAGGTGTCAGATTACAGAGTTTCACTGTAATATTATATGACTAGCTTGGATCTGAAGATTTGGTTTCCTCCATTCTAACTAAACATACCCAATCCCATAACAAAGATACATGAGATAACACTGTTTGTTCACAGCATCAGGCTGTGAAGTTTTGTTGTTATAAAACAGCTTGTACACTGTTTATCATTACAATGTATCAGCTCTTTAGATCTTTTTTGATCAGATTTATTATAGGTTTGTAAACCAGGGTGGCTGCGTCTACACCCCAGATAAAATCTAAGTGATTCCAGGATTTTAATTCATAGCTGCCTTTTAAGTTGGTAATTTTTTGCTGTAAAGCTGCTACATCCTGGAAGAAAAAATGATACAGTAACAATTAAATTCCCCGTAACATTTCCTGGTACAATGAATTGTCTATATACATTGTTTATTAAGTACCTATGATGTGCAGTTAACTGGCTCAAGAGTATGTATAAATAATTTTCAACAGCTAAGGATTTGTACACGAGTGAATACAGAATAAAAGAGGTAAAACAAGCATGCTATTGGCTTATACCTTAGGATCGGCCAGCCAATCGTGATCAGCCCAGTACAACACAGTAGGAGTAGCCATTGTAGATACATTATACAGGGGAGGTGTTGCCTGTAAAGTTAGGGCAATCACAAATTATCTCAATTCATCTCAAATTTATCAAAAAGTAATCAAAAGTAATCTGAGATTACTTGTATCTCAGATTTATTTCTTTTCTTTTAAGTTGCATTGCACTTAAGTATCAGTAAATACAATTTACAAACTTATATACATGTATGCAGGTCTCACTCCCTTACCTACATGTATGCCAAGAACTAGCTGTGGTATTGAACACAGTGATTTTCAGAAATGGTCCAATCTTTAATGTATGTGTCTTATGTTACAAACCTGATGATAATGGATCTTGTTTTTCTCTGGTGTACCCCAGTCATAAGCCTGGAAACGGCCACTTCTGGACATCTAAATGTTCACAATAAAATATGATTCAAAATGATTCAGAGTTTATTGCAGGATTAAACAAGATGTGTTTGTGAAACACTGATGCCCCCGTATGACAGCTTATGGTGAAGGTTAAAATTTCTTAAATGCAAGTCAAACTCCAGGTCAAGAAATCAAAAATGTTGGTACCCAAAGAAAGGTCTTCTCAAGGAATATACCTGTGAAATATGAAAGCCCTAGTACATGACTTTGAAAGCTATGGCAAAGGTTAAAGATTTTTCAAAGTAAGTAAAACGGCAAGGTCAAGGTCAAATGGTGCCCAAGGGAAGTTCTTGTCACAAGTGATACACATGATCGTGAAATGTAAAAGCCCTAGAACCAAACGTTCCAATGTTACGCCCAACGTTAAAAATTTTTAAAAGTAGGTCAAACTCCAAGGTCAAGGTCAATGCCAAAATTGTTGGTATCCAAAGGAAGGTTTTGTCACAAGGAATATACATGTGAAGCATGAAAGCCCTAACACCAACTGTTCAAAAGTTATGGCCAAGGTTAAGGTTTTTCAAAAATAGGTCAAACTCCAAGGTCAAGGTCAAAGAGTCAAAGTTGTTGGTATCTAAAGGAAAGTCTTCTCACAAGGAATGCATATGTGAAGTATGAAAACCGTAGCACTAACTGTTCAAAAGTTATGGCAAAGATTATAATTTTTCAAATTTGAAGTAGGTCAAACATCAAGGTCAAAAAGTCAAAGTTGTTGGTATGCAAAGAAAGGTCTTGTCACAAGGAGTACACATGCAAAGTATGAAAGACCTAGCTTAAACTTTCAAAAGTAATGGCCATGGTTAAATTTTTTTCAACAGTAGGTCAAACTCCAAGTTCAAGGTCAATGGGTATAAGATGTTGGTATCCAAAGAAAGGCTTTCTCACAAGGAATACACTTGTGAAGTTTGAAAGCCCAAGCTCCAAGTGTTCAAAAGTTATGGCCAAGGTTAAAATATCAAAAAAAAATTGCAAAAGTGGGTCAAACTCCAAGGTCAAAAGGTCAAATGTGATGGTACCCAAAGAAAGGTCTTATCACAAGGAATAAACATGTGAAATATGAAAGCCATAGCTCCAACCAATCAAAAGTTATGGGCAAGGTTAAAAGTTTTTGTGGACAAACAGACAGACAGAAGGACGGACAGGGCAAAAACTATATGCCCCCGAATCTTCTATTACGGGGGCATAAAAAAATCATAAGAAAGATAATCTACCTGTGCAAAGTGGACCATGTCTTGCATAGATGTTCCAGCAGGGGCATGTGATACATACACTGGAAGACGAGTCTGAAAAATTACTGGAAAATAAATTTTTTGGCAACAGTGCAAAGAAATTGCATTAAATAAATATAAACCAACTATTGTTTGCGACAATTTTCCTTTGTAATTTGTCAGTTTGAAATCTATCCTCGACTATGTCATTTTCAGGTCTGAGGAAACAATCTACAGAAATACACATATCAATATATCAAAATGGTTCACACATGAAGTATATTTGAGAGTAAAAGAAGGTCACGAAACTTGTGGATATTTCTCACAAGCAACTAAAATTTGGTTTACAATATTTATTCTATCCAATATTGTAAAATGACCAATAAAAGTGATGATTTATCAGAAATTTACCACATTGAGGTTGCTAGTGTCATATCCTGCCAGAAGGAAGATGACATTCGTACAGATGATGCTTGTAATTTTCTCCTTACAAATTGTACTCCCCAGCACCTTAAATATCCAGTCACTGGGCAGGAAATCTCTCCGTCCTAGTAAACCATAGAGAAGCTGTGGAATAAACAACAAAACTGTCATACAACCTGAACCCTACAGTAAAATACAGCATTTAATGAATTCACACGGTGAAGTGATTTTTCATTCCCTGGTAACAAATGGTGAATTCCATTTATTACGGCCTTATATGCACTTTCTGGCATGGAGAGAATTTAAGGTTATGGTAAGGAATTATTTCTATATCAAATCAAAATTGCTCATCCCTTGTATTTTCAAAAGGGTTTTTTTTGCACTTTAACAGCTACAGATAAAGTTTTATGGAACAAAATCAATATTTTTTAAGGTTAATACTCTTTGTTCTGCATATTGGAGAAGGGGGGGGGGGGTGTTTAAGGGATGTATTAAGTGTTGAGCTCAAAATTCCATTTAAAGAATACAGAGTTGAACTGGTTTTGTCTGAAAATTTATTAAAACCATTATCTCTTTGAAATACATGAACACACAGAAGCATAGATGGCCTTCATTATTCTGTAAATGCTGCTCTTACCTCATCTGTAAATATAGCCATGTATTTGATGGGACTTTCAATGTGTGCTATGGTTGCAACAGGTCCCATAGCAAAGAACTGCTTGACCTAAAGGCATAACATTTAATAATATTAATAATGAACCATACTGTCATCCTCATTATCTTGAACTCAATGGGGATGAGAAAAAAATTCAAGATATAAAGGTTGACATATCCATGGTATTCCAGAAACAGATGTTTGAGGTACTAAAGTTCAACTGTACATTTTTGATCAATTTTTTTATAATCAAATGAGAACAATAAATTTGAGAATAGAGTGTTTGACAAACCTTCTTGGCAAGTGTTGCGTTTTGTGAGAAAGCAGCAAATGCTTGTAGTGTTCCCTGTGAGTGGCCGATAAAGTATAGCTGCCGTTCCCCGGTCTTTTGTAGAACGTAATCAATAACTGCTGGAATGTCATACTTTGCCATCTCATCCCAGCTGAAAAAATTGTAAATGGTTTAAAGTTTGCAACATACTTCATCAATTTGTTAATATTATCTAACTATAAGTATGATAGGACAAAATCATTTTTTTTTAGATTCTCAACCCTGTCTGTCCCTCTCTGTGTATTACTTCAATCTTTTTCCTCATTTTTTTTAGTTTAAAATTGGGTTATATAAAACATTGCAAAAAAAAGAATTCAGAATGGAAAATAAAGAGACAGAACATATACATGGATTAGTATTACTGAAATTCATGCAATTTGTGTCATTATAAAGCTGAAATAATGCTTTGTTTAAAATCCACCCATCCACCCCATGTCATCTGCAAATTAGGATAAGAATCTAAAAAATGAGTTTGTGTGGTCTAAATAAAATAATAGAGCAAATCATATGTACATGTGCGTGATAACAATACTTATACCTCCAAGCCCAGAATGCATCCTCTTTTGGAGACAACTTCACATGATTTCTAGAGTAAGTGTTCCCCCTAGAGTTTCCGAGCCAGACATCAAAACCTGCATCAGCTAACACAAAACCTGTAAATCAAAAAAATCAAAATAATATACACAAAGATTAGTTCAATAAATGTACCATAATTATCAAAACTTTTCATTATTAATCAAACTGAAAGATGTTCGAAATTAAAGCACGATCATGCAAAGAGTTCAAACTAAAAATGATTCAGTACAATCAATAGTGACAAACAATGCATGTGCATATAAAGTATAGAGATAATTTCAGTCATATACATGAACCAGCTTCTACACTGAGTTATTTTGTAATAAAATATTTCTGACTCTTCATATATCCTACTTAAGCATTAAGCTTTAAAGATGCATGTATTGTCATTATCGTGTTGATACCCCTTACCACAATATATACAAGTGTCATATGTTTACTTGTACATGTTTAATATATACAAAGTAGATATGTATGTAAATATTCTTTTTCACCTATTTTAAACCTTTTCCTTCTTACTTTTATTCTCTATATGCCCAAATGGGCAATGAATTAGTAATAAAACTTTTTTTTATCTATAGATATCCAACATTAATCTTTCTCTGTATGACTTTTGCTTCCTACTAATTTGATAATCATAAAATTTTTAGCTTCTATAAACATTGATTTAAAGGTGACTAGTAATTTTTCTATGTCATTTATAATTAAAGATTGACACTCAAAATAATTAAATATTACATGTATAGTGGGTTTTTTTAAAACAATTTCCCCATTTCAAACCTATTGATGTGTAAATTTACTGTATTTCTGAAATGACACCCTTGAATTAGACCTTCATTTATGAGGAAGTATTTCAAAGTACACTTCAAGCAATATAAGTTTCCCACAGAGACAATATTAAGCTCATATGTTTTAACTGCTGGCCAATTTACAAAACTGAAACAAAGTGCATATTCACTTTAAAAAAAAAATACTCATCAAAAATTACACTCATATTTACCTTTTATCAAATATATTTGCCAAGTTTTATTCTTGTATTTTTTGCTTTAAGGATACATGTATTACATAAACATGGGAAAAATTTTCTCTTTCAAAGGCAATCTTGATATTTTTCGTTTACCAAAACTCTCATTTGCCAGATTGGTGACCCAATTAGTTGCGGATGCCAGAAGTCCATGTTGTAGAAACACTACTGGTCTCCCGGATACTACAGACTGTTTCTTCTTCCCATGAGGAATTCTCTGAACCCCCAGTATATAACCATCTTCTGTTGTTACTCTGTGTTCTTCACAAGGATAGCCTTTACTGGTTATCAGCTGAGTCTATAGAGAAACAGATCATGTAAAATGGTCAACATCCTCTTAATAGTAAACTGTAGCTTATCTTCAGGCTGCTCAGAGAGAGAGAGAGAGAGAGAGAAGGAGGGAGAGAGATAGTCAAACTGACTTTGAATTCTACACTTTTCAGATGTTCATTGCAATATGAAATCTTTAAATAAAAGACCCCCCTCCCCTTCCAAAAGCAAAAAAAAAAAAGAGAGAGATAAAACTGGACTTGACAAGAAAAAAGCATTTAGAGGTGCATTTTCATGAACTGAATGGAAACTTATGCTAAATTTACTTTTAAGGTAACTTTGACTATTAAACCCATAAAAACAAAACTGGATTCAGGTGTTTGGCTGACTTCTATTTATGGTACAGTAAACATAAAATGTGTATATAGAAAAGGAGTCCAGTTTAAGCAGCCATATAAAATACATTGTTTTAACTTAAATGATCAACAATTCATCCCTTACCACATTCATGCACACTTCAGGGTCATCTGACAATCGTGTTTTAAATCCAACATGCTTCAGAAGTTTAAGCTGTAAGTATCCATCAGTTTCACAGTCCACAGATTTTTGTATATACACATGCACATCAGAAATTCGGTTTGCTACAGCTCCCAAGGAATAGAGAAAGACTGTTACTGCAAAGAACAGCGTAAAAAGCACCGCATACCGTGTACGACACTGGCCTGTCATCTTCATCCACTTGAATAGACATCGAGAGGATGTTCCCCTCCTTTTCAATATCCACATGTAATAATTGAATTCACATGACTTTGCATCACATGTAAACAAACTATGTTACCAATGAAATGTTTTGATTTGATCACCGATAAAAATATAGTTTACATTCGTTCCTTGCTTTAGAAAAGTATTGAAATTTTTTAAATATTTATTAGGGCAATTTATTTACTCTCAGATGAATCTGTAACAGCACAAAACTGCTCTTTAGAGTGTTTTAAGTATAACGGCATCCTTCTCAGCTTCTGTCAACACATTCTGGGTCCAAAGTCAAACCGGAAGCATGAACTTGAAAGCGAAAAATCAACGCTAACAAGATTGGACATGTGATTTCCGTATTTAACAATTTAATCTCTCTCTCTCTCTCTCTCTCTCTCTCTCTCTCTCTTTGCAAATGCAGATTTAAATATTATGTTGTTAACGTCTCCGCTAGCCAAGGACTAGCTTCTAAGTTCACAATCTAATTAAAATTAGATGTTCCGTATCCGCTAGGTACCGCTTCTCAAACGATGTTTGAGAAGGGTAGCGGATTTGGAACATCCAATTTTAATTAGATTTCTAATTTCATACAAACAGTTTTGATATTACCAGGGTGACAATTACGGAATATCTACATATGATGTACAAATATGTGGAAACACGCAAAATTTCATTATTTAATTTTTTTATATTTAAAAAAAGGACTGAGTTGGATACTTTCTCGTATTATAATGTCTAAACAGGGACCTATATACTACTCTAGTATATAGATTCCTGGTCTAAATGAGGGTGGATCCAATTTGGAGAGGGGGGATTCTTAGGATTCAAAATGTCGTATATACAAGGGTTGTTCGGAAAGTTCGTGGACTACCGTCATAACTTTTTTACTTAACGTCATATTACATGAATATCCAAATTTGGAAGAAATATTTCAACAGTAAATTTAAATGATGGGTATTAAAAAAATTTAAAATATCATGGTTTATTTCAAACTTATTTAGACTTTTGAAAAAATGAGAAAATCGGATCACGGAGCAGGTCAAAATTTCGTAATTTACAATCAAGACACTAAATAATGTCCATGATGTCTGAGGTCATATCTTCTGTAAAATGAAACAAAATCGGAAAAATTCTACACGTTCAAATTAAGAATTGTTTCATCTCTTCTAATTCCAAATTATGACTTCATATTTTAATTGCTTCATTGAAAAGAAATCAGTTTCAGAAGATAGGTAGTCCTCATTGATAAAGCCCAAAAAGATGACGTCGTAGAACGTCATGGAGCAGCAATTAATCATACAATTTTGTGTTGTACTCTGGAAAACTCCATATGAAACTCTGAAAATGCCGGAGGAAGGAGGAAATATGTCAAAAGCGAGCCATGCATGTGTGTGTACACGGTACAAGCGGTATTTGAATGATAGACTACTCTGCTTAGACGATGGTGTTCTCTGAGAAAACGGATTATCTGTAAAAATCTTCTCAAAAACATTAAAAGTTTGTAACGTCATGCTAAGAGTTTGGCGCTTCACAGATGCTGATCTTGTGAAAGCACACTTATGCAGTGAAAAAAATATAACATTGACAAACAAAATAATGCTACTGGGACAATTGTTAGCAAAATAGATTTCAAGTGATAGAGAAACGTTTTTAATGAGTGCCCTGGTATTTGGCAATACTGTGTGAAATGTATAGGGATATAGTATTTTTAAGAACCTCATATCGGTATGTTTTTGACGTTACAGTGTTGTTGAGTGTTTGCTCCGTGGTTACAAAACGTGTTGATTTTAAAATTAAATAACATGAATTCTATTAAATCACATGGAATGAAACTTCACACTTAAACAAAATAAATATTTTTACATATAATAATGTGCTCATTTTAAATGTCTTTGAGATAGTATAACAAAGATTGGCATAGTCCACGAACTTTCCGAACAACTCTCGTAATTGTAATTTCAGGTACGCTTAAATAACTCAACCCACCCTATTTCCCACCCTTTAGCCAGCATGAGATTGATAAGTTGATACCTTTAGGACAAATTTTGTGAAATGTACATAATTATAGACATTCTCATTTCAACTGGTAAATGACGCATGTAGTACAAGGAGATATGTACATTTATGTATATAATTTTATTAACAAATTTAGAATGGAGAGTACACTTTTATACCTTTGATATGCAGTGAAGGATAACGTCCGTGTTATACGAATCCCACTTTTCCTGGTATAGTTTTCTTTGGTTGGTTGCTTTTGCTACCATTCGGCATAAATTTTGTTTTTCATTGGGCAAAAACTCAGGCCATACCCCTATCCCCACATATATCTCAGCACTCTTCAACATGTTGAAGTGTTCTCAAAAATTGTAACTTAAAGGAGAAAAAAAAACACAGAGATAAAAAGTCATATCGATTTACTTTTTTTTGGATAAATCATAATAAGTAACACATACATGTATAAAACAGAGATTTAAACTAAATATGTATTGTGTCTTTACATATTCAAACAATCTAGGGTAAAAAAGAACAACACGATGTTCTAGCAGGTGCCCTTGAAGTCCCCCACTGACAGTGTTTATGAAGACCTCTACATTAATAGACAGTGTTCATGTTGTCTATCGTGCCTGTCCCTTGTCAGCTTGCCAGGCGTAAAGTAGATAGTTGCTATTTCTTGAAGAATATCTTCAAAGCTCTCCTGTAATAAGAAATGTACTGCAGAGTCTTTTATTTCTCGATTTAACATTTCAATGAGAAAATTTTATTTCAACAGAAATTTGCCTTTTTTTCATATTTTGTTTATCAGTACTTCGTTGTCTTTGAAGATTTTTCCTATAAAAAAAATAAAAGGCACGCACCGTTTAAATATGAACAAGATAAGGCCTTCTTTAAAATAATGTTTGTTTGCCCTCTCCCGACTCAGGGTTAAAAAAAAATGGGTTGATAGGTAGGCGGGAATTTTTTTCTAAAAAATTTAAAAATACATGTTGACGAAATGAGAAAATTCAGGAATATAAAGGGAAAAAATATCGTTTCACAGAGGTTAAAAAAAGTTTTGAGTCGGGCCATTTTTAGCCAATCGGTCGGGAGAGGGCAAACAAACAATTTTTTTTAAAGATGGCATAATTTCATTATTTATTTCTTTCCGCCATATAACTTTCTCAAAGTCCAAAAAAATATTTTTCATTAGTTATAGAAAGTCCTTAACGAGTTCTAAAATACAACCTACAACAATAGGTGACTGACATAAATCTGGAGAAAGAATAATCACCATACTCGCAATGTCAGGAGTCCTGAACACACACCACGAGTGGACTCAGGACACCTAACATTGTGAGGATGAACAATCACATGCTCACATTTTGAACTGCAGAGCACTCAAAATAACTGACGGCATTTATAGTTCGAGCGAAGTGGCGTAGTTCCTCTGATGTCAACAACTTCCGCTTCCGTCCTCCATCTGCTTTTTCACGGAGATCTATTTTTGTGGCGATGACAATGACTGGAGGTGGAACAGGAATACAATTGTGCAAATCCTTCAACAGCTGAGGAGAATAAGAAAACTGATTATATTTCTATATAAATATTTACATTTTCAAATGTCTTTGTCCGAGATAAAACTACAAATAACGCAATCGCCTCTATCGCGCGATAGAACTCACTTCTCGCTATGCGTGGCTTTGTAATACACTGGACGCGGCTTGCAGACTTACATGTAATATTTTAATTATTGAATAAAAAATAACGTTAATATCTGAATCAAGGATCGAGTAAAAATGTAAATACTGTAAAATCACATATTTTCGTGGGGTCAAATTTTCGAGGTTTGAGAAAAAATATTCGTTCGTGGGGATTTGATTACGTGGTTGGAGAATGCTTAGTAGCCTTTTTAGACATATGAATTACATTTCGTGGTGGTATTAAAATCGTAGGTCTCTCCATACCTCGAAAACAACAAAAATTAACCCCCCACGAAATTTTGTGATTTCACAGTAAAAGGAATAACTTTCCGGGGGGGGGGGGGTTATGACAATGATCAAACAGTTTGTACACAAGTATTCATATCAATATAATAGCACAAAGGTTTTGCTTCTAGAGGACTGGTCACGCTGCAGGAAGGACAAAGAAAGATAAGTGTAAATTTATACATTTTGTTTCAGTTGTAAGAAAACAAAAGGTTAGATATTCGCGACGATAAATTATTTTTTATCATTTATTTCTCAACATTTTAAAATGACTTACAATTTTTGATTCTCTTTCCAAATTCACGAAATCAATAGGAATGCAAAGGAGGATGACGTCATATGTCAATTCCTGTAGGATAACTCTTCTGAGCCCGTCATAGAATTCACAAGTTGGGATGTCGTATAAATGAATACAGACTTCTCTACCCTGGTGTTGTATATCAATGGTGTGGATTTCGTGGACTGTGGGGTGAATGCTCTCAAACTTGGGACACTTGCCGTCGATGTACGCTTGGATCATGCTTGTTTTCCCGCTCATTTGCCAACCATCCACGACACATTTTATAACTGGTACGCTTTCTTTTCTTTTATTTTTATTCATCTTATTAAAAAAAAAACAAAAAAAAACACATATATAATCACTGAGAATAAGTTAAGAATTATGTACAGGTAGATAAGCTATATATATACATGTATATAGAAAGTTGAATTTCTCAGATGAGATAAATGATTAATGTTGAAAATTGTCGGATAGTTTTTTTTCTCTTTCTCCCTTTCTTTATTTTTTAAAACTTTCTCAAGCTGGAGCCTTTTATCATATAATCTGACCATGGTAAATCGACACTGACTATTTCTAAAATTACCAGATATATACTGAAAGAGGATCACCCAGTGCCCTGTTAAATTAAAAAACTTATGCGGTTATGCCAATGTACCATATTAACTACACAATCTGATTAAAATCAGATCCTCGATCCGCTCCTCTGATTCAGAGGAGCGGATCGAGGATCTGATTTTTAATCAGATTGATAACTAAAAATATTGAATTAGTGATATATTTTGGTCATATTTTTTAAAAAGAAATTGCACACCCATCCCAACTGGAAATCCTGAAATTGCCCTTGATTAAATCATCAACACTTTTACATCACGACCACCGGCCATAACGATGACGACCGAGGACTCCGGAAGTATTAGTAAGGGTAAATGTAAATTCAAATCAATTACAAGTTACAGGATTCTGATTACAAGTATCGGTCATTGTTCTGTACCTTTCGTAGTTTTTCCCGGTATGTTTTGTGATATGTGACGTCATGACTTCCACTGTTCCTGTTAGAGATGTGTTCCCCTACACACGTGTTACAGAAACTGCTGTCACATGGCTCACACACAAATTGTACGTGTTTTTCACACTTGCCACACGATAAGGGGCGTTCATAATCATCTGAATCCCTCTGAGATTCCATAACAATCTATAAATAATTTGAAAAAAAAACTGCTATGTTATAAATGCGGGGTATATATTGCAAAATTCTAATGGCACTTTTAGTGCCCATTGCAATCCATTCATATAATTCAAATTATAACATGGATTTAAATGTGTAAGCTTTGATTTCCATCGTTACGGACAAAATTGCCCTGAATACATGTATATAGGACATGAACTATGAGCTAGACAAGAAAAGTATGGAACATTTATATGCTTGAATTATTAGCATTGCTTTTTAGTCAAAATTGCAGAAATCTGATAATTTAATGTTTAAACTCAAATTCATTGAGAATAGAGAACAAAAGTTATTTGAACAAAATATGAATTTAAAAAAATGGCTTAAGTTGCAAGTGACGTAAGAAACATGGCAGGTATTCATAAAATGTTTCAATACAAGACTTTCAATAATATATCTTTAGAGTATCAAAACAAAAGACGGGGAAGTTAACCTATCAAATATTGTAACGTCGTACATAAAAAAAAAATAACAGCATCGTTAAAGGGTCTTAATGAATTCGCTTTGCGGTAACTTATTCAACAAGACGATATTTTGACAGAAGTTAATATTAGTGTATATCAATTTTTAGGGCAAATGCTGGTCGTTTCGTATCTTGTTCTTTATAAATAAAAATTACCACACCAAACAATATCTAAAAAAGAAAACTCGATATTTGTTAACAAAAAATCTTTAAAAAAATCATCAACTTTCTTATTCCTTAAAAAGACCTATTAATGTTGCACCTATTTAAATAAGCATGCAATTCACCTTATCAAGTAATACAAATGATTGTCACACTACAATCGCGGCACTTTCTTCATTTTCAAAACCAAAACATATGCCAGAAAATTATTAATCCTTTTCTATGGTAGAAAGAAAGCACTACTTTCCTTTTAGAATAGCTTCCGTGTAACGCTTCTTTTGATAATATAGAATACTTGTACCATTGATATTTCCCCGTTTTATACATGTAGTTATTTACGAGGTTAATATTCAATGCAGGTTTAATTTCCTTAAGTCATAAAGTCATTGTGTTTACCGAAAGTCAAGTTAAAAGAGGAAACTGTATATGCTCATCTTGTAATGTCAGTGTGTTACAGCTGATCAATTTTTCACTGAAAAAAAAACTGTAAAACTGCAGTACATGCAATTAAAACAAGCGAATTCAAAGAATTGTGGTCCCCCGCTTTCGGTGTCTTAGTGGATGGGATGCAATTATTTATGGCATATTGTGCCAAATATGAACGCCCTATCATGTGTTATTCAGAAGTAATCACCAAATTTAATTTTTTTTGAAAACGTCAAACATGAAAGTCAAGGTCAAGGTGTCAAAAATCATAGCATGCTCAGAAACATCTTGTCACAGGTAATGTACATTTCAAATATGAAAGTCTCCTATCTCTTCTCAATCAAAAGTTATAAGGAAAGATATCATTTTTGAAAAGTAGGTCAAACTTCAAGGTCACGGGGTCAAAAATCATAGTATATTTAGAAAGGTTTTGTCACAGGTAACATACATCTGTAATGCGAAAGTCCTATCTAAAGTAATGTTAATTTTTTTTAAAAGTAGGTCAAACTTCAAGGTCACGGGGTCAAAAACCATAGTATATTTGGAAAGGTCTTGTCATGGGTAATGTATATGTGAAATATGAAAGCCGTATCTCTTCTCATTCAAAAGTTATGACCAAGGTTAAAGTTTTTTTGACAGACTGACAGACGGACAGACGAATGAGATTTAATGTCCCCTTGCTTTCGCGAAAGCGGGGGACAATAATTCCACTTAATTTCCAAATTTAAAATAATTAATTTAGTATACGAGTACATATCGGTGTTAGATATCAGAGTATACATTTACATAAACATAAACAGGTAAATCATTACAATCTAACATCGATATGCCAAAAAAAAAATCAAGACTTCTGAAAATTCGAGATAAATTTTTAATTCGACAGTACTTAGTTAATGTATATAAAAATATTTTTTATGCCCCCGTATCGAAGATTCGGGGGTATATAAATTTTGCCCTGTCCGTCCGTCTGTCTAGCTGTTTATCTGTTTGTCTGTCCGCAAAAACTTGGTGCTACGGCTTTCATATTTCACATGTGTATTTCTTGTGAGAAGGCCTTTCCTTGGGCACCATTAATTTTGACCATTTGACCTAGAGCTTGATGTTTGATTTACTTACTTTTCCATATCTATTCAATGGTAGTTGCTAGGGCTTTCATATTTCACAGGTATATTCCTCGAGACAAGACCTTAATTGAGGTACCAACTATTAAATTGATTTGCATTTGATGAAGTTTAACCTTTGCTATAAGTTGCCATAAGGGGGCATCAGTGTTTCATAAACACATCTTGTTTTAACCTAAATTTGGGTTCGAGATTCAAAGAGGCTTACCCTGTGGATTTGATCCATTCTAATTAAAGATATAACTGAGCATGGCCGTAGGAACCGGGGGGGGGGGGGGGGCTGCCCCCCCCCAATAATTTGCCGATATATAGATTACAATAGAAAACATAGCTACTATATGCTTGTGCCCCCTCAATAAAAACGTCTGATGACCTTTTTTTTTTTCTTGCTTGTCAAGAAATTTTTGGTAGTTGATAGTGCCCCCTCAACTGAAAATGTATGGCTGTGCCCCCGAAACTGAAATTGCTTCCTACGGGCCTGCTGAGAAGTGCAGACAATGTTCACTCCTTTGTCACAAGACCAAAATTTAATTCTGCTAAAACTTTATCATTTACATTCAATAGAAAATGGTTTTAATATCTTTAAATAGTATGTAGAAAGATGCTTTTACGCTAGCAATTTTAAACAGAATCATTAATTTTGCAAGTTCTTCGTAAGTTCTTTTGTAAAACAGGCCCCGGGGCCCCGTCTTACAATAGAACTAAAATTAAGACCAGACTTTGGTTTTCCAAATTTTTCTCTTCTTTACATTTATTTGAAATAGATATAATAATATATTATACAGAAATTTATTTTTTTTAAAGATTTTTGAAAAGATACTTATAGAGTGCATTTTTTAAATGTTTAGGTGACAAGATGTTAAGTCAGCTAAAATTATTGGACATAGTCATAAGTTCTTTTCTGATAGAAATTCATCAAACTCAACGCTATTAATTGTGACGTTAATTACTTAAACGCGCAAAATGACGTTATGATATTTCCCTGATTCTGACGTCATGATTCCCTTGGAAGATCTAAAATAACAAGATGGTTTCTGAAGAGCATGTTGAAAACATTGACCAGAAAATATGACAAAGTGGCTTTGTGTAGCAATAACTTGCATATTTTTGATGCATAAAAAGATTGGGTGAGTTGAGATTTTATTGTTTATTTAAAACGAATTTGTTGATTACTTTTTAGAAATCGTAGATGAAACAAATAAGAAAAGAATGTAGATTTTTTTAAAAAATTGAAAAATACAATATTACCAAGCATATCTCATCCCTGTGTGATGAAGTGTGTTACTGATTTCCACAGAAATTTAAGAACAGTTTGTATGAAAATACTGTGTGCATGCATGTACAAGACTCAGAGTATTTTCTACGTACATGTCCCGTTGCAAGAGGATCCCACCCATCCCTCCCAAGAGTCTTCTTCATTTTTATATAGAATGTAGCTTTCGAATTCAACACTTCAAGTTTGTCATTTTCATACACGTGTTTCATATTCACAATAAAAAAATGTTCACAAAACTTAGATTAATTCGTGAAAAGTCCCATTATTGAAATCTTTTAAACCATACTAAGTTAATAAATCATATGTATCACTTTTTACTAGATTATGTCATGCCCTTTCTGAGGAGGAACACATCGACACACATCACATCGGCGAGAAACTGTTCTATGCCGTATTTGGGGTGGAGAAATTACCAATCTGCTTGTTATGCGACGATGATCACCAACCATCAGAGAGAAATTCTTCATTCTTAGGTATAAGGTCGACTTTTCAAGTAATCATTTCAAATATTTAATGCCTTAAAAAAATTTCGAACCGCCTCATCTTGATTGGTTGATTAATTATGAAGAAATACATACACAAAATACTTTTCTTTTCTTTTATAAGTTTGAGTATTTATTTTATCAGAAATTCATTTTTTTAAAACTCCGATGATTTGGGGGTGTTATTTTATATTCATGACCAAAATAAAACAGTTAATTTTTATTCATGACCGTCGTCAATACGTAAATAATTTTGAAAATGCGAAAAAAATTGATATATTTGCTGGTGTCGTATATAGTGAATCTTCCACATAGCAAACCTTTCCCTACAATATTTACTAAATAGTAACCCTTCCCCCTAGGAATAAATGCCATATAATAAGTCTCCCGTCCGAAACTGTTAAGTCTATAGGAAATATCCTCCCCTCTTAAAATTTTAATCTACAATATTTTTGTTCACAAAATCACAATTCATCAAAATGAAATAATTGATACTGGTAGTCTTATCAATTTTACAAGGGTTCCATTATATTTAAAATGCTCTTCGCGTAAATTTCAAACGAATGTGATTTAGCGGGAAAAATAACAATTATCGGATTGCAAATTTTGAATTTACTATAGGTGGAAGTAAATGCAAATTTCACATGATAATAAACCTTCTTCCTATAGGGGAAGGGTACTTCGGAGGGTGGGGATGGGTAGGGGGGGGGTGCTATTGGATACTATATATAAATGACATACCGGCGTGGCTACATGTATATCCACGTATGTACCAATAGTCTGACTTCCCGGTTTCAGATCTAGGACATTCACATTTCCTTCCAGCTGCTGTCGGGTGTCTCTTGGGACTGTTGTTTTTCTTGTGTCTGTTGGCCATATGCATCTTGAACCAACGCTTCAGAGCAGGCGAGTAAATTTACGCTTTAAATATAAACCGCGTAGTGGTTCTCTTGAATTAATAAGAATCAGTGAAAATAATTATCCAATTGAAAACTGAGTCAGATGCTATTTTACCCTGAATATAAGTAAATAT